AAAAGGCGCGCATACAGTATATAGAGCGAGAGAGAGTCGGTACAAAGAGAGACAGAGAGCGGGGGGCGATGAGCTTTTTGTCGCGCTTCGAGTGTGTGTAGTATTGCATATACGTCGAATGCTCGGGGCATATACACATACCGCTATATGTATATTATAACAAAACGCTCGGCGGAAAGAAAAGGTTAAAAATATTTTCCACCACTCTGCGCATTCTTCCCCGCTCGTGGATACGCACCAAGAGTTCGCTCGCGTATAAATAAATATATCTATAGGCATATAGATTATAACATTTTTCATAAAATCTATACGCAACGGAAAAAAAAATACCCGAAACCTCTTTAGTTAAATTCTTGTTGGTGCTCTCGACGTGTGCGCTTGACGCGCTGCCGATGCCGCTCTGCGCGATCGCGTTTAGACAGAGACTAGAGAGTTATTTGGCTTATGCGCTCGCGCGTATAATGTATGATAAAAAAATAACAAAAAAAAAAAAGAATGTGGAGCGCACGACTCGCGAGCTTCGATGCTCGCAGAAGATCGCGCTGCGCTGCTGACGAATTCGTTCCCCTATACCATTTTTCAAATTCTCTCCACGACGTGCACATAACGTATCAAAAATCTGACTCGCGAGCGCGATTGAAAATTTCATCTAGAATGTAGAAGAAAAAAAAATAACAATAAAAAAACTGAAAGAAAAATCGTGACTGGTGAGATTCGTACTCGGCATGACAATACACAAATAAGATATTGCGTATACCGCTGCCGCAACTGCACGCGGATCTCGTTTTGTAATAAAAGATCCGCGCGCGCGCGCGAAGCAGCAATAGTAGATATAAACGAGGAGAGAAAATCACGGGCGCAGCTTAATTGCTCGCACGCCGCGCACACACATATATACAATGCGCGTTATACATATCATATATAGACCAATACTGCACCGATGCTGTTTTGTGCTGCTGCTGCTGATGCTGTATATGCAACTGCGCACACACAGACACATATCGCGCGCGCGAACTTGCGGTACACATGCATACGTAGATATATATGTATACGCGTTCAGCACTTTGCGACGACCCAGTTTTCCGTATATATAATGCGCCTGCAGTGTGTTCCGCTGCTATACGGCTAGGCTATATACCGTCTGTGTATGATGTGCGTTCTATACTGCAAGCTCTCGCGCCCCGAAACGAGCAGGGGAGATATAGAGATATAAAGATATAGACGCAGCGCGCGCGCGAGAGAGAGATGCACATTTACGCGGCGGTAGCGGCGTTGGCGGTCCACCTCGTTTCCGTAATTATATTTCGTTGCAATTATATTTTGCTGAAATATGGCTTATCGCAACGATGCACCCGCGCGCTAGGCCGGTTGAGCTTGCGAGCTTATATATACGTTATATAGCCCCAAGATTTTTTTTATTTATAAAATGCGTTGGGACGGTAGGATATATTAATTGCCACGGTGCACACACGCGTATATTTAATCGTGAAAAATTCAGTACTTAATTTACGACGCTCGCGACCCCGCGACCCCGTCGCCGTATGTACACGAGAGTCTGTGTGCTGTGCAGCGCAGTTTACCCCCGGTCCGATCGAATATTTAAGGGTAAAACGATATAGCTTCGGGCGCAGCAGCAGTAGCCTAGTGACACGTACCCGAAATAATAGTCTCGTCACACACATATATTGCCATCCGTTCGTCGACGTTGTCGTCGTTGCCTGTACAAAATTAATCGTAACCGTATATATATAAGCTCTTGCACCCGATACAGCAGAATCACCAGCAAACTATACAACCTCGCAGTCGCGTTAATTCAGTCACAAAACTTCCGTTTTCCATGCGCGCAAGCTCGTCGTCGATGCGTTCTTGTTATTATATACAAACCGCGTGTTACCGATATACAGCTACGAATGCAGCAGCAGCTGCGGCGGCATGAAGGATGAATTTTCACACAACGTGAGCTGAAACTAATATTACACAACGCGCGCGGCGCGGCGCAAGGACTCTCGACTCCCGACTCTCGAGCGAGCTTATACATATATACAGTATATAAATTAATCCTGCGCGCCACATTATATCGGGGGAAATATTTTTCGCGTGGCATACAGCTGGTATATAGAACACGCCACGTGTGCCACGTGCAGGCACGCGCGTGCGGATATCAGAACAGCAGCAGCGAGCAACAGCAGCAGCAGCAGCAGCAGCGAAAGTTAATATTATTATATATAACGTCGTATACCTGTACATTATAATAATGTAGCTCTCTAGAGCAAGCCGCGAGCTTCGCGAGGAATCCCCTGCCAGCGAGATTTTCAGAATGTACGACAACCTTACATACCTACCTATATATAACACAAGCTCGCGTGTACAGCATGAGCTGCCGCTCGAGATCGGCGCGCAGCTGCTTGCAGTGCTGAGAAATGAATTATTCGTCGTCGCGGCGCGTCGAGTCGCGCGCGGGGTGGCTCTGTATATAGTCTACAAATTATTACTGCTATTCTATATACTTGGCTCTCCTCGCGATGTGTGCTATCCGCGAGCTTACGGGCATTCTTCCGCGGCCTTATAAATAATTTTAACACGCAGACTAAGGCTATACGTATTATGCACACTACTGCTGCTTGTCTCGACGAGTTTCTAAGCTCGTGAAAACATTATAATACGTAAGTACGTACTATGGGGTAGTACAACTCCTCGCCAAGTACAAGTCGCGTGTGGCTTAATTAGTTGCTAAATTGCATAATGCCTAGCGCGCGCGCGCGACTCTCTGGCCCTGTTTAATTCTAATTACTCGTCAGTCAAGACGAACGAACTCGACGTATTCTCCACTGTGCTAGTACGGCGTATTATATACGTATATAGCCGAGCGTCAATTAGCGTGGCCGAAAATCCCAAGAATACGTATATATACAGCTATACTTAATCACTAACTGCGAGCTCAGCGCGGTACAACGGTGCGCAGCGTTGCTGTATATGCAGACAGCAGCCGTAGCATCCGTAGTGGCATATTATAATAAGAGAGAACAAGCCCGAGCGAGATCCAAGTTGCGCGCGTGAACTCGTCAAAAGGACCAATTTAGCGGAGCTTCGCATTCGATTCGGGCACAAAGCTTGGCGCTCGACCGAGGCGAGGAGCAGCAGCAGCAGCTTGCAGCATCCATTCTCTCTCGCTCTCTCCCCTCTGTACACGCTTCATCTATATTTACTTGTCTGTGCGTGCGGAGCTAGTACACGGCGCGCTTGTTTTCGGACGCGAGAGGAGCGCTCGCGCGTACGTGTGTGCGCTTTCGACTCGCACCCAGCACCGCCGCGATATACGCATAGACGATTACACAGCCTTGCGTATACGTTCTATACACGTACACACAGATACACGGGATTACGGTTAATGGTGGTGCTACACAACGTTATGTATAGCGCACATTGTATATATACCGGAAGGCTTTGTACCGTGTTCGAGTTAGAGCATACCCCGCAAGCTCTAGGTCACTACTACTACTCCTACTGCAGCATGCATACGTATAAGATAGATGTATACAACATTTTATACCGTGTGATACGCGAGCTACCGTTGCTGCTAGGCGCGCAAAGAGAGCGAAGAGAGAGAGAGGAAATTTATCGTTGAAAACGTTGAAGACATCAAAGGGCTCTCTCTCTCTCTCTCTCTCTACAGTGTGGGTGCGTTTGGTATACCTGTATACAGCTAAAGCTCGACTATGTATACTGCAACGAACGTAACGCTGCCCCACCAGTGTTTACCGCATCATTCAATTTAATACAATGTGTGCCATGAGGCCATTTTACCCTTGCGCGCCAAGGCCAAGCCTGCAGCCGCGCTCGCACGCACGCAAGCTCGCAAGCTCGCGGCCCTTTCAATTTCTCTCCGCGCGCTCGCGTCTTATATTATATACGATAGCTGTGTGTCGTTATTATGATGCACTTTGTCGAGAGCGAGGCCTAAAAGCGTGTACAGTGTACACGCGTGTGTATGTGTGTACCCGTAAACCCGGCGGTCGAAATTATAAATCGATATCTCTGTATATAATATATACATACACACGAGCCTCTCTATGCAACGATATTGCCTTTATATTATGCATGTTACAATGTTTGTGTATTATGCGTACGTATATATACTGTTTATATAAACGTCTCTCTCTCTCTCTCTCTCTGAATTAGAAGCAGCGGCAGCATATAAACGCAATTTGGCACGCGGTGTATAACCGATAACCGCGACACAGTCTACTGGCAGGGGCTATTATAATATGCCCCCCGCGTATATAATGATGATCGCGCGCGGCCCATGGCTTCCAAACGTCCGAGTACGCAGTAGGCAGTAGTCGCGTCCGAAAGCGAGAGTCCGGGCTATTATGTTTATATTATTATATTATACACGTGTGTTTATATGTGTGTGCGTTTGCTAAGCGCGCAAATAATTGAAGAGAACGATTCGCGTATGTACACACGATATTGCATTATAATTATTTGCGCGCGCGCGTGGATCGACGCTCTGAATATTTCAAGTGCACATGCAAATTAATGCGCGTGTGTATGCCGAATGACCGATAATATTGTAATTGCTCGAGAACGACGACGACGATGACTTTTCGAGGACTCTGCACTCGCGCCGAGTGCATCTCTATATTAAAAGATATTGAGTGCACGGCACTCGCACGCGCGTATATAGCTGCTCGCGCGATAGAAAAAAAAGATGTAATACGCATCGCGTATGCGATAAATTTCTCAAGCTCTTACTTTTATTGCAAGTACGTGCCCCTCGCGCATAGCGATTATGTTACTTATATATCGTCGCTCGTACTTTATTTTTTATCTTTTTTTTATTCACTCGCTCATTATTTCCTGAAGCGAACGAATATCATATACATTTACTCTTGAATTTGTGCCAAGATTCTTTTGCTCATCAACTCCCAAATACATATAATAGACCCGCATAGACGAACCAATCAGTTGATTAATTATACGCTCCGATTGTTTTGCAGACGAGTGCCCGAACAGCGGCGAGGACAGCGAGGAGGATGTAATAAAGGACTATCTGGGAGGCTCCGGGCAAATACCGGAGTGCTCGCCGCCGTCCTCGCGCGTCAACGGTATCGTCGACGAGTCTACCACTACTAGCAATAATAAGCCACAGCAGCAGCAGCAAACGAGCCAAAAGTACAACTCGCACGACGAGGGCTGCCTGACAACGGGTGGAGCTTCATCCAAAGATCAAAACAACGCCCAGCAACAGCAAGTTAAAAGTATGTCCGGCACGAGCACACCGACGACGCCTGGGACGGCCGGAGCGGCGGGGATGGCGACGTCGAGCAGTATGACGACGACGCCGACTAATCCACTCGTGCCCATTATCAGTGTAACTCCGCACTCGCCCGGACTGGCCAAGCATTATCCTGTCCTCGGTAAGTGATGGTGTCACATCGTAATACTCCAACATATATAGACACGGATATATGAAGTAGCGGCAGCTGCTACTACCACTACTCCTGACCATTGTTTCCGTATGCAATGTGTAAATATATATAGGCGTGTTGTGTCCGTGTGTAGGTACTTGCTATACATATATATATTCTGGAAGATTGTACTTTGGTCTTTGTTTGGCCGGGCGTAGAGTAGTACATGGCCCTGCCAATGGCCTGTCTATATCGCGCATAAATAAGGCATATACAAGCGAGCTAGTAGCGAGCTTGTTTATACGAATAGCCCCGCGCGCGCTTCCATTCATTTGCTCTCTGGCTCTGCTACAACTAGAGCTACTATTATTATATACATACTCTCTTACTCTTGGCCAGCCAGATATCATGCGCTGGACCGATACTATACACGGTGCTCGGCAAAAGTATGCCGAGTACCTACACAGATATATATACGTGTATTACATATACGCTACCGCTTTGTACTCGACCGACGAAAAGTACGTATGCCGTGCACTCAACTTCGCGTGTGTGTGTGCTTGCAAGCTCAAACCAGTAGCGCAACGAGCGAGTCCTGCGCGCAGCCTGCAGTACACAATGCGCGAGCTTTCGGTTATTCGGAACTTTTTTTTTGCGCCAGGAAAAAAGAATGAACATTCTTTGATTATGCACTCGACGCGCTTTCATCATTTCTCTATAGGTTTACAACCGGCTGGAATTTATTATCGTCGTAAAGTATCTCGGATCGATTGTACATAGTCTCTAAAAAATGTTCTAGTTTGATACGTACGCGTATATCATCGTCGTCCTAGTTACAGCAGTCCCGAGCTTTCCCGTGTATGACAATGATGTTAAACACATATAATGTAATATGCAGCTTGCGGCAATTTCCACGATTGTCTGGTCGCGTGGCGAATAAATGAAAAGGATTAAATAAAGGATTAAAATATTATACATACGATCTGCACGTGTACGCGATGTGAACGTTATAATATTGAAACGAGTAAAAAATCTTCTATTAACTTTTAATACGATCGTGCGCGCGATCGCCTCTTGGCAATTTTCACCCCGGTATAATACGCGTGCGTGTAGGATAAATTTTATTATCAATTTACTCGCCCTGATCTGTGTATTAATAAACATTATGCATGTATATTCGCGTGCAGCGCCTGGACGATTATTAGTATACATACACACACACATTGATAAAGGTATTATATTATATGATGACGAGCGACGTCGATCAGTGCGCGTGGTGGTGGTGGCGGCGGCGATCGCGATGCAAAATTTATTGGCTCTCGGCCAAATTAGGTCGCGTCTCTCTCTCTCTTTCTCTCTTGCTCTTTCCGCGTGTGTCCTTTCGATCATCGGGCGGCGTTAACATAAAATATACACGATATCAATGAATCATTGATTGCAGCATTACGACGTGTTTATTTTGCCGTATGGCACAAGCGCGTATTGTTTACAGGTAAATTCGAGCTTTTCCGCGCAATTATCTCTACCCCATTAAATTGAGCTATAGAAGCACAGAGAAAGAACAAAAAAAAAGAACAAAAAAAAAAAAAAAAAAAAAAAAAAAAAAAAAAAACAAATCCTCGTGAACCTAAAGATTTGATTTCGTTTCGCACGCGTGTACATCTCGAGGCACGTAATACGATGCTTCAGCTGCTTTGATTAGAGACATCCCTTCTATATCCAGTCTTTTAATAGGACTCGTATTGCCCATACTGCAACTTGTGTTATGTACGTGTGCGCTCGTGTACAGGATCGCTACGGGGGTGGCGTCGATGGAGAAGATGAGAAATCAGTATTACAGACTTGCTACTGCTCTTCTCGCTCTTGCCGCTTTACGATATACACGGCTATGGCGAGCGACACGTATCGTAGTCGAGATTATCCTGCCTTTGCCTCGTGGATTTCGCAGCCGAGTATTTTTCATCACATATATTATAGAGCACGAGATAGAGCGACGTGTCGCGTAATATACGCGATGACGATTTCTTTCTCATTAAAACGTTCTCTCATCCCGATCCTTGTTGGTTTTTTTCTTTTCATCTCTCGCGCTCGACCAGCAGCAGCAGCAGTGACGCGGATCCCAAATTCACGCGATGAAACGATGACTCCTTTTTACGCACGAGTACGCCCACGCGATCGCTCAATTTGTTCTCAACGCTCGTTATTATGCATAATTTTCCATACTTCGTGCTTATCGTTATTTTAATTTATTTCCGTTGCAGAGGAGCCACTTCGCCATCTGCACGAGATTCACGACCGCATTCATCAGATGCGCGACCTGACGCTGCGCACCGGCGCCCAGGCGATAGGCGGCGATCATCTGGCGCGCTTCAGCACCAGCTGTCCGCAGCTCTGCCCTCTGATCTCCATCGAGGGTGTGATCCAGACCAGCGGCATCGGTAGCGGCGGCGGCAATGGCAATCAGCAGCACTACTATCATCATCACCAGCACAATCACCATCGAGACTGTCAGGGTGCTTGCGGCGGTGGCCAGGTGGTCGTCGATGGCCAGGACGGCTCCGATCCCGATCTCCTGACCAACTGCTCGACCAACAGCTCGCCCACGCACTACCATCATCATCATCACGGCAGCGTCGGTGGCGGTGGCGTCAGCCACGTGTGCAGCCAGATACTGCAGGGCATCGATCGGCGAAGAAGCTGGACGGACCTCGAGGACTCGAGGCAGCACGGCCGCCGTGGCTCCGACAACAATCATCTGACGGCTCAGAACATCGTAAGTTCGTGTGTTTGATATATGTATATATTGTATAATTCAATAACGAGCTTACCCGACGAGAGTAACTCGCAATGTGTTTTGACGCAAACTTTTGCTTCCATTTACCGTCCACTCTGCGCAGCGCCAGCGAAGCATAAGTCTGAGCAGCTTAGACAGCGACATGGACATGGAGCTCGATGGCAAGCGGCCCAGAGAAACGAGCAGCAAGCCTCGTACTTCCGTATCGCAATCTAGCACGCATTCCCTCAATGAAGCTGACTTTGTTCAGGTTACTGTTATATATGATGCATTTATTCTGCATGCACACGTACACACACACACGCTCTCTATTTGCTATCTTTATACACGTTTTCAACTAAAAATACTATATACAAACACCCGTTGTAAGCTCGAAGCTTTTGATATCGGCATCGATACGATATTGCGTGTGGCAAGGATGTCTTCAAGGCCGCGGCGAGTGCAGAAGATTTTCTATCAAGGCGCGCGCGATTTTTAAAGGCAACGAGATCAGGTCAAACGTTTTCTCTCGTACATTATATCGTGCATCGAAATGCACGAGCAAGAAATGATGGATGAATCTTGGCGCGGCTATATTTATCATCGAGCGAATCGTCAGTGCATTTCATTACAGTAAGCGTAAAGATTAAAAAAAAAGAAGAAGAAAAATGAAGTAAAATAATCTCTACCCTCTCTCTCGCTCTCTTACACTTTGCACACAAACGCACCCACACACGTACACACCTGATGACGTACACTTGATCCATTTGGGCAGTCATGCGCTCGCACACCTAAGAGATCATGGAGATTATTTCACGCGCTCGCTCACGTTTAATTTGGATGATTTTTCCGCGCTAGAAAAGTAAGTGAGAGAGAGAGAGAGACCAAAGCTTCGCGCTTCTCTTCCGCGTTACAGCGGTAGCAGCGCATTATTACGAATATTATATTATTATGCGCTCTCTCTCCTACACCGCGCGCGTCGAGAAATGTATAATAATATAGATTGTGCGCTCGTCGCGCGATGAATCATATATTTTGAGAGCCAGCAAGCGAGCGAGCGAACACCGAATGATAAATTTCCACTGACATCATTATTAAATATACGCATAAATCTTGGCATTAGGCGGTGTATGTTGTGTTATCGCGCCAGAACACGTGCTTCGCGCGACAAAGATTTCTCGCTCGCACACACACATACGCACATCAAGATTACAATATTATACTTTGATACTTACACATGTACGAAAAAAAGAAATGAAATTTGTTTCTTTCTCTCTCTCTCTCTCTCTCTCTCTCTCTTTTCTTTTCTCCACAGTTCTCTCACAACGATATAATTACAATAGAACAATAACAATTAAATGCATCGTGCATCGATCGAGCAGATAACGAGGAATAAAAATCCAAAAAAAAAAAATTGTGCACACAGGTCGAGTTCAAGGTGACGGGACAGGCGAAGCGGAGCGGGCAGCGCTTGGGCGACAACGCGAGCCTGATGCCGGGCATGATGTCGGTGCTGGGCTCGCGTCTGCCGCTGCAGAAGTCCGTCTCGACGCCGTCCATCGTGATACCACCGGCGGGCCAGCAGCAAGAAACTGGGACGCGCGGCGCTCCCTCCCACCTGGCGTAAGTCGACTCAACGCGTCTCACTCACTCACTCACTCACTCAACCTCTCTTCTTCTTTCCTCTTCTCTCTCTCGTAATCTTATTAGATATACACCCACACAAGTTTATTATTATATATATACGCACGAGCCAACTCTTCTATGTCTCGTATTATGTATCTTTTTCTATCTCGCTTGCGAGCACTGTCTGTATACTGTTTTTTTCTCTCTCTCTCTCTTTCTGTTCTTTCGAGTAGCTGCTGTTGCTTTTCGCTTGTATTTTGCAACGCACGTATTAAAACGCGAGTTAGCACACGCGACTGGCGTTTACGCTATTGTACACACCTATACACATGCACGTTTGCGTGTGCCGCTGCTGCGGGTGTATGTGTTTATTATACTCGAGCGCGTATACATCGCCAGGCAGTATCGCACAGGTAGTTGCGTCGCTCCGACGATGATGCTCACGCCAAATACAACGTAGACGACGACGACGACGTAGACGACGTAGACAACCTAGACGACGACGACGATCACGATGGTGATGTGCTTTTATGCTGCTAGTCTGCCTGTGCACGCGTAAAGTTAATGTTGTGCTCCTAGATAAGAGTCTCTCACCTCTGTCTCTCTCTTTTGCTCTACCTCTTTAATTGCTATCTCTGGCTGCTACTTCTGACGTCGCCGCTGTTGCTGCTGTTACTTCTGCTACTTGATTCAACTCTAATTTATACACGATAGTCAAGAAAAAGTCGCAAGCGCGCACGTGATACGCCGCACGTTTATGTATTTTTTTGCCAGCTGTTCTTCGTCTGTGTGTTGGTGAACAAAAATAAAAATATAAATAAATAAAGAGCAAGTGGAAAAAAAGTGAAAAGTTTGTCGCGACCCGTAAGTGTGCACACAAGTTTTTTGCGAGTGATATTCTCTCGTTATGATGTATGTGGTCTTCGTCAAAGTAAATGCTCTTTTTCTCTCTCTTTATCTCTCTCTCTCTGTTGCGCGCGCGGGCGAGTGGAAGGTTTAATTTAAAAAGCCGGAATCAAGCGCTGATTATCAGAGCGCAATGAGCGTGTTCTGGTACTGCTATAATGTGTACTGCTAATGCTGCTGTTGCTACTGACGCTGCTGCCTCTGCTGCTGCTGCTGCGTATTGAATAAAGTAAAAAGTATGGTTTTAAGTTATATCGTGCTTGATATTTCTTTTGCTGCTGCTGTTCTCATAGCTAATGGAGTTAATGCGGATCGTATTATACAGCTCATGCGCCTGCAGTGTGCACGTAAATGTGAATTTTCACCGTCTTTGAGCTGGGGAATATCGGCGCAGCGGGTAAATTATCGAGTTATTAATTTGTCGCGTAATTGATTGAAAAATATAGTTACTCTCTTTTGCTATAGCACACAGAAACCGCAAATACGCGTACACGATCGAGCTTAATATACGAGAAAGAGAGACGTGGTCCCTAATCACAATTATCGCTCTTTGGTATACTTTTTTTTCTTTCTTTCTTCTCCATATTTTTTTCTCTCTCTCTCTCGTTTCTCTCGCGTATGCTATATATACGATATATACATACACACATACGGCACATTTTCTAATTAAAGCCGCGCGTGCGAATAATCATGTTTGATTGCTCTCGGCGCGTATATTTGCCGTCGGTGACTGTATACGCCCGCGTGAGTCGTCTCTCTGCGCGCCGCGCACTCTGAATCTCGCGCGCGCGCTCCGATCGTGCGGTGATATATTGTCATTATTTAATTGCAAAGTTCTTGAACTAGAAATGCGCTCAAATGTATATATCTATATCTATATTATAATGACGAAACGAGCGAAATATCGACGTCGACGCTCGAAGACGACGCGAGAGATGCACGCAGCAGACAACCGAGCAGCTTGACTTGTCGTAAGAGCTATAATAAGTGATAAAAAAAAGAAGCAAAAGAGAGAGAAAAAAGGAGTATTTTTATTGTATCAGATATAGATGAGCGATAAGATAAAAACTTAAGAAGCTCAATTGTTGTGTGTATCAAACCTACTTTTCGCGCTTTACAGCTGTTTTATATTATTTATTATATAGATTTTTAACCTTGAAAAATCATTTGCACTTGGATTTTCGACATGATTTACAAGCTCTTCGTGGCGCGTGTATAATAGAAACGCAGTATTGCTAGCCGCGCGCACAGCCACTTTTGCAGACCGCGAGGAAATGACATCTCGAGTCCTTGTTATATACAGAGCTAGTAGCTATAGTTTTTGCTGATAAATACGTCCATCATGCCGTGCGCGCGCTCGAGTGCTTGATCAATTTTCCGTATATTCCGTGAAAAGGTATTTTTTAAGCGTTTCGCTCTTGATAAAGAATTATTGCAGTCGTGTGTATCGAGCTCGTGTGTGTACAGTCGTATGAACGCGAGAGATGGACGGCGAGATGATGTGTCCTTGTTTCGCCGCTGCTGCTGCTGCTGCTGCTGCTGCTGCACCATCGTAGAAGTTTATTAAATTTACTTTTCAATGGTAGTAGCTAGCCCCAGCGTTCGATAATTCGATGTTTGCAGTTTTTTTTGCTTTTAACTATATATGAAAAAAAACGCCAAAGCGTTATATAGCAATCTCGATGGAGGGTCCAATTTGGAGAGCTTTTTTTTACTTTGCTTTTAATGCTACTTTTATGAAAGATTAGCTCGACTAATGCCAGTTGATTTAATTCTTTATCAAATTTTTTTCATCCGTCCGACTGGCATCTAAAACTTTATAAATTAAAAAAATTTGTTATGCGGTACACAAAGACAGATATATTGGTTCCGATGTCAATGTAAAATATGACGAAAAGTTTTTCAATCTTGTTTATAACGTTACAAAAAAAAAAATCTGCGATTGCGTAGATAGCTTGGCATCCGCGCGCGCGGGCCCAGGCTGTCTCTGTCTGTCTGCGCGCGTGCGAGAGCTTCAATTGTGCAAATAACATTATCGATGAATTTCATAATTGTTCTCCCGCATAAAAAGGTTATACATGAGCGTTTTTTTTTCATACATGATTATACACTCGTACGTACGAGAATAATATATATCTTATCCACGGAATTTCACGCGAAATAATGAATAGGAAATTTCTCGCTCTTTGACGTCGACCACAAAACGACTATTTACCCTTCATTTATACATTTATTTCTCGTACTCTTACTTTTATTTCTTTCTTTCACTCTGATTTTGCTCAAATTTATTGCTTATGATACTTATATTTGATTTTTATTCGTTTTATTTTTTTGCTCTCTCGCCACCAACCAACCAACCAACCAACCAACCACAACCAACACGAAACACACTCGTGAACGCACTTAATCGTGTGTGTACGATCTCGATTGGGTGCACACATTTTTACTTTTTTTTTATTATCATCGTTTGAAAAATGCCTCCGAAAAACCAAAACGAACGAACGAAAAAAACGCAAAAAAAAAACGAAACAAAAAACAATCCACCGAATAAAGAAGCAAAAGTGGCGCCCGACATGAGCGAAATCGTCACAGCGAGGCCAACAAGCAGCAGGGCGCAGGAAGCGGCAGCGACACCGAAACGGACGAGCCCCATCATCTGCTGGCGCACGAACGTCACGAGTATAACGAGGATTTGATGCGAGAGGGTGTACAAAACACCCAGGCATCGCTCGACGAATTACTCACCGAGTAAGTAGATCCGCATAACGTACACACCGCCGCCGCCACTACTACCACCACGTACCCAACCAACCCCTCGCTCTCCTCCTTTCTTGCCTCTCTCTCTCTCTCTCGTTCTCTCTACGTATACACGTATTATACTAACGATCCAGAGACACATTAATAAGCCGTAAATCCCTGTCGGCTATGTTATTCTGTGCGAGCGTGTCTGTGTGTGTGCGCGCACGTGTACAGAGCAAAACGATACGACGGCGCCATGTGACGCGTTGGAAACGTAAAAGAAAAGGCAGCGAAAGAAAAAAATTGGCTCGATTCCTCTCTTTTCTCTCTCTCTCGTTTTTTGTTTCGTCGCATACACTACACTCTCCACACAGCGGCGTTCCGGATAATTTTCCAATCTGTTGAGAATGAAAAGCCGTGTGTTCGATTACTCGGTGCCGCACAGAGGAGGCTGCTGCTACTACTGCTGCTGCTGTTGCGTGTGCATCATGGAGAGAGAGAGAGAGAGGCCAACCGAGAGTGAGAGAGAGAGAGAGAGAGGAATTGGCTGCGAGGCATCGATTGTCGCCCAAAATAAGGCATGCCGTCGCCGTTGCACACTACACACGTCGCACAGACAATTAAATCCTTTTCCTGCTATACTCGTGCAAGCCCTCCTCGTTCCTCCTCTTGCGCTCATCCTCGTTCCTCGATCTTTCTCTCTCTCACTCTCACTATGTACAGCTGCTATTTATTGCGCCATACGATCCCTTTTACGCTATTTCGTCACGCAGAGCGGTCGGAGGTGCATCTCTCTGCCTCTCTAACAAGCTCGGGGTCGGTCGAATATTTCGAGATATATAACACACCCAATAAGAATTGCTATAAATGAACTGCAGTCGATATAATGGTTGGTATGCTGCACGTCGCATTACTCGTAGATGTTAACTTTTTTTTTATTCGTTCAAGCTTTACATATTATGTAGGGCGAATGTGCCTTTTTTTTTTTTTTTTTTGGATTTGCATCTTTTCGAACGCACAATTTTTTTTTTTTCAAGTAATTTATATAATGTTAAGCTGCACATACACACATTTGAATTTTTTATTACATTTTCAATGCTCACTTTTCCAATACGTAGCGATTTGAATTACACAAATTTTTTATTGTATATTCGATTCTTTAGTAAAAAATTTACGATATGGAAATAATACATGATATATTAGTGTATAATAAGTGTGCGGTGACCAAAAGCGCATCGACTATTGAGAAATAATACATGAAACATGCGCTCCGGATCCGAGAGAAATAAATTCACGATTATGCTGATAAAAATCCTTTTTCGTCCTTACAGTACAGCGTACGACGATCGACAATCGGAAAAGACAAAGCGCAAGCGTGGCTCGCTGTTCTCCAGAAAAAAGAAGGTTCGTAAATATTGCAAATTTTCACTCTCTTTTAATAAACGTAAAAAATAAAAAATAAAATAAAAATGTTTAGGACAAGAGCGGCAAGAAAACGGCGCAACCGCATCAGTGGGGTACCATAAACGTCTCGTCGCAGGGCAACAATTCCTGCGACTTTTGCATGAAGCCGTTCGCCAGTAAACCCTCTTTTCACTGCGAAAGTGAGTACATCTCCCCCGCCGCCAGTGTTTTATTATTTATTCGTTCTTTTTCCGCGCGCGTAAAATCATCATTCGTAAAATGTTTATTATTATTTTTTTTTCTCGACTCTCCTCGTGCACACAGACTGCGGTGCTATAATTCACCAGAACTGCAAGGACCATTACCAGGCCGAGTGCACCAAGACAAAATCATCGAGCAAATCGTCGTTCAAGTCGCTCTCCAGCGTGTCTATATCGTCGACGAGCAGCATAGTGAAGCGCGCCTCCACGGCGTCCTTACCGCTGGCAGCTTCAAGCAGCACAGGAAGGTACGTTCTCTTCCATCATCATTCTTCCCGACACATACCTTACTTTTTTTTTTACTTTTTTTTTATGCTCCATTTTTACCTTTCTATATACTCGTAATGTAACTTGTTTACTCTGCGACATATATTTTAGTTGGCTTTGAATATCGTTTTATTTTCTTGCTCGATTACTGCCATGGGTTGACACGGTGTGAATTTTTTTTTTCAAATTGATGCGAGCAGCGTCAGACACGCCAAGATTCCAATGTCAATGGTTGATTGCTTATCGATTTGCACAACATTTTCCAAATCGGGCGTCACATTTTGAAAATTAAATTGCCATCGATGATTGAAAAGTAAAAACACATCAGTGTCTGACTTGCTAGCGTCATTTTCGAGCGTAAATGATTTTTTTTCCTCAGATTTAACTTATATATTATGAGAAAGACAAAAAAAACTTAATTTTACGCATATACATAAAAAATATATCTATGTTTCATGCATCGTTTTTGGCTCTGATGACGTTTTGAGGCTGGCTGAAAAAAAGCTTTTACGATTGATTTCGCTGATTTAGCAAAACCAATGGCTGAATTGTTGATGTATATGGAATTTCTAAATTCTGATGCATTAATAATCACTATAGAGTGACCGGCGTTAGCGCATTGATTTTTATTCTGTTGTATCGTTTCGAATGCAAAGTCAATTTGTCTTCGTTTTATTTTTTTATTCATCGAACTTGTGTGAAACAGCGAATCATTTGATCAATGGCGCTTATGTATTACGATAAATTAGTATAATACATTCAAATGAATTACACCTCTACACGTACTGACCCATTGAATTTAATTCAATGGCTAATTAAACGAGACACTAATTTAATTTGAATACTAACACTTGAAATTTTAATGTAATATTCTTGCACTCCGAGTATTGTATTGTTGAGAGAATTTCTTTTTAATTAAATTGAAATCGTACTCGAGTGATAAAATTTAAAGCAATCCGTCGGTGGAAAAAAGAAGCGTCGACGCTTCTTTCATCTTGCTCAGAGAGATGAAGAAAAAATGATACCGAAAATTTTTTAACTTATAACGCTTTGTCACGAAAGAGAGAGATAATGAATTAATCGCGAATCGGTCGGCTTATTACAATTGCTTTTTTTTCTTCCGTTTGACCCGCCCCTTCATATTTATTATACTACGCTGATAACAAACTTTTTATCCCATATCGCAAAAAAAGATAGTAGCGAAATCTTAATTAAGAAACAAATTTCTAAAAAATAAACAAACGAAATACAGGGATATTAACAGCAAGAAAGCGGTGACAAGCTACAGCCCTTGGCGGCGTGTTGCCACCAAGCTTGGAGTCAAGTAAGTCACCAATCCCCATCTTTCTCTCTCGATTGCTGAATGACGCTCTCTTTCATTGTTATCTCTCTCTCTCTCTTTCTATCTCTCTCTTTCTATAACATCTCTATTTCTCAGTCTTTTTTTTTGTTAAAAAAAAACCATTTTTTTCATTTGTTCGTTGCATTGATCGATGTAACAATCTAACTTTTATAAATGCATTTCAAACGAAAAAACATTGAACATTTCAAGTCTTGTTTGTTTGCATATTACCTTCTTGATTTTGTACACGCGTATATTGAAAAAGTATGTGATTTTCTCGACTGTCACCATCTCTCCATGTATCAAACATCGTAGACTATCTCTCTCTCAGCTCTTGAATATATATCAATACACAATATATATATACATATTCCATCTTTTGAAATCGTTTTTGTATATATTATTGACGTCATCTTGTTAATTTTAGTTGATTGTTGAGTTTTATAGAGTTACTGTAATTATATCATCGTTAAAACTTCGTTTTAATTTTATATGTTCTCTTGTCCTTGATATTATCCGAACTTTGTATAAACTACTTGATTTCGTATTACAAGTTTTACCACGTTATATAGTTGAATTATAAATTTCTTATATAGTACTTTTCACGATAATAATTTACTGTGCAGAACTAGAACTCGCTGTACCCTGGATTTTATTTTTTTATACAATTTTATATTGTGTTTTTTCAAATGTTTTTTTCCAACCGTATTTGTAAATAAATCTGTACATAATTAACCGAGTGTACGTACTTGTACATTAACTTCTTCTTCTCTAAGTTCATAATTAAGCGTCGACCACACAGCGAAGTACCTTCGTGTAACTGTTTCACTAACTCAGTCGCCGCCTGGTCCTTTTGATCTCGCGAGTTTGTACATTAACGAGTCAACGACAGCGTACAACATCTCCCGCAATCTGTCCTCGTGTAATTAATTATGCAATAATTGGAAAAAAAAGAAAAGTATTAATATTTGCAGAAAATAAATACGTCATTTATCGTCGTAACCAATCGAATCTTTGGCCGTTCGACGCTCTGCATTGTATCTTTTCTTTTCATTCGCCTCCGTGCGTATACAAGCTTACACGAAAAGATAAAATAAAAAATAAATAAAAATGGAGAGTCGATCCGAGTTACCTCATAATTCAAGCGACAGGCGCAGCTGACTCGACGAAACTGTCCATTATCAAGAAAAAGGGAACAATTCGACTTGACACTTGTTGAATCGATACTGTGCAGACGCTTTTCCCTCCTTTTTTTCTTTATTCCTTTCAATTTCAGTATCACATTCCGGGGGCCAGTTTACGCGTTCGCGCTATATACATATAAAATGCCTTTTCATCCCTTATTCTCTCTCTCTCATTCTCCTGGAAGGTTCTCTTTGTTTCGAAATATTCTCTTTCACATTGCACTCTTTAATTGTAACTTGTGTACACGAATGTATACTCATCGTAACATCTCTCGTACACCCACACATAAATACACTCATATACAAACTCGTATCGCATTTATAAGTCCACAACAACACAAAGCATTGCGAAAACTTGTATACACACAGACACAGACACACAAACATGCAGCAGCAGCAGCAAACTCTCATTTATCGCGTAAAATAGTACGTATGTATACATTCGCCAGCGAGTTTTTCGCCTCGCTTGACAATGTAATATATAGAGAGAGGAAAACACTCGCACACGTACTTGCACACATACGTATACATACACATTCGCGAGCGACGGTAGGAGCGTTGGACATTAAGAGAAATAAAAAAAGTTTTCTTCTGTAATGTGCACTGCTCTACTACCCGCCACGGTGGCTCGGCTCTTTTTTCACTGTTATCTTCTTCTTTCTCTCTCTTTTTTTTGTCTTTTTTTTGTCAAGATAAAGCCCTGCGCACGACGAGTGAAAAGCATAATTATCGTGTTCATCATATACACGGCAGTAGTGACGAAAAAAATCGTCCTTTTTATATTTCCAGGCCAAAATTGTTGCTAGACTTTTATTATACATACTTGCATAATGTACGCATTATATTAGTCATTCGCGTATATTAACAGCACGTGTGCTGCTGCTGCTGCCGTTGATGCTGCCGCGCGCATTACGAATCCGTCGACCCGCGACTTTATTGCCGCGCTCGAGTCGTGCGTGAAATATTGCGCGCGACACGCGAAAAATCGCAGGAAAATGAAAATGTTGATTCTCACGTATAAATCCTATATACCTACTTCAGGCGATATATATACATGGCATAAAATGGAAATTATCCCGAACAATTTTTCAGCTTGGCCGCGCATAATACGAGAGAATCCGCGCGCCCGATATGAGCTCACCGTGTGTACATGAAAATGAAAAAATGTGGATGGAACTGCACGTATGGCCCGCGGACACGCGCAAAGTTTCGAATGCATATCGTGCATAAGCTTTCCCCCCCGAATTTTCACATTACTTACCCCTGCGCGCGCTATAAGCTCATTTTCCGTCACGATAAACACCATATTCGTTATTCATCGGTTGCTCGCAGCAACTTTATATATATTATTATTATTATTTATTTTTATATTTATATAATATCATGCATATGTCGTAGAATGATTTTGTAGCGTTATGAACGTAGACGTTATGTACATTAATAACTGAATGCCACTGCAAAAATAATGTTACATTTCTCTCTCTCTCTCTACCATGCGAGTAAACATTATGTTTTTAATTATTACATCTCTGGACTCGTCACGCTGTACCGAGTAACGTGGTATCGTGTGTGGCACAGCACAAGTGGCATAGAAAAATGAAAAAAAAATCAACTGAATTTACGCCGCGACGAACCACAGTACTCTATACTATATAATATACGTTTATTTTTTGTTATCATTCGTCGTATTATTACTTGGATAAAGAAAAACTGACATGCGAATTGTCGGTTTGATTTATATTTGTTGTTTATTCATTATTATATTACATCTTATACATGAGTATTATAGTCGACATTCGCTGTATATTATTTACGAATTAGAATCTAGATAAATAGCGCTGAAGACTGAAATTATTGCGACTGGAGCTTTATCGCGGGCGTTGACTAATTTTTACACGCTTGAATTTGCAGTCAAACGATCAGCGAGGAGCGAGATGGAGATGGAGGTTCGCATCGAGATGTACCCAGGTAAAGTATATGAAAATTAATATTCTTCCGAAAATCTGGCACCCTTCGCTCTAATACCGATTTTTCATCATCACGCAGCTCGGAGAGGTACACGCGTTCCGTGGAGCAGCACGGTGGCAGCGGCGTCGAGGAGTTCGACTTCGACGACACGCAGCAGTTCAGCCTGGAGGAGTTCGACCAGCAGCGGCCCGAGCTGGCGCTGGGCCGCGAGGAGCCGGACTCGTGGTCGGCGGCGGTCGGCCGCAAGGCCGCGCTCAAGCTCTGCGACAACAACGAGCGCGAGATCAAGCGCCAGGAGCACATCTACGAGTTCATCCTGACGGAGAAGCATCACTGCCTCGTGCTGCTCGCCATGCAGCGCATCTTCGTCGACGGCCTCCAGCGCCACTTCAACTTCTCGGTCTCGGTGCTCGATCGCATGTTCCCCAAGCTCCAGGCCCTCATGGACATACATTTCGACTTTCTGGCCAAGCTGCGACAGCGCCAGTCCGAGAGCCCGGTGGTGCCCAGTATCGCCGACATTCTCTGCGATCAGTTCAGCGGCGACAACTCGTACGGCATGAAGTCGGCCTACGGCGAGTTCTGCTCGCGGCATCGGGACGCCGTCGACGTCTACAAGCAGCACCAGCAGATGGACGCGAGATTCGCCCGCTTCGTGCGCCACTGCCAGAACAATCCGTTGCTCAAGAAGAAGGGCATACCCGAGTGCATACTGTTCGTGACGCAGCGACTGACCAAGTATCCGCTGCTGATCGATCCGCTTATCAAGACGTCGACGGCCCAGGACGAGACGGACGATCTGCGCCGAGCGTTGGCTCTGGTCAAGGACATACTCAACGAGGTCGACACCTGTGTGGCAGACAAGGAGCGCACCGATAGGAAGCTGGACATTTATCACAAGTGAGTGTTTGCAACTGCGTACCCGCTATACTTTATTTCCTCGATGTACCATTCTAATAATGCGGTATTAATTTTGCAGAATCGATCCGAAATCCTGCGTGACTTATCGCGGCAACAAGTTCAAAAAGTCCGACATCCTCGACTCGAATCGCAATCTCAAGTTCGAGGGCACGGCTTGGCTCATGCAGGGACGCAACAAGATGGTACCCGTCGTCGTCGTGTGCCTCACCGACATCCTGTTCTTTCTCACGGGCGAGCAAAAGTACGTCTTCTTTGTGCCGGACAACAAAGCCGGAGTCGTCTCGCTACAGAAACTTCTCGTCCGCGAGAAAGCCGGCCAAGAGTCGCGGGGTATCTATTTAATAAGTAGCAACCCCACCGAGCCCGAGATGTTCGAGCTTAAGGTTGGTTTATTTTCTTATTTTGTCCCTCTCTTTCTCTCTTTCCCTCTGCGCAGTTCTGCTCCCGCAAATCCTTCGTTATTTTGTCTCAAAGATCGACCACGATCCCATTGATGTGTGCGCTTATCATCGTATCGTTGTGTACGCTACGCTCGTTTCAGGTCAAAGAGCCCAGGGACAAGCATATTTGGATCAAAGCCATTCGTGCCGCCGTCGAGGCTTGCCCGCAAGAGCCCGAAAACGAGAGCTCGAATTTCATCGAGAACAATCTGATTAACGATCTGAGGGACACGCGGCCGCTCTCCATGGCGAAACTTACCCCCGAGGAGAAACTTCGACTTGCCAAAGAAACTCGCCTGCAGAGCATACTTGGTAATAATAATTCATGATCTCGATCGAGCGTGCAATAATAATTCGTGGCTATGCTATCTCAAATACTAATTTACGCGATGATACCGTGACAATTTGCAGAGGAGCTGAAGAAGAAGGACGAGGAGCAGACCATGCTGTTCGAACAGAAGATGGCCCTGCACTTGCGACTTCATAACGCCATCAGCGTCTCGAACAGCAACGATAATGACGTAGACAAGAACAAGGATTTCAAAGAGGTTCCGGACTACTTGAGATTCGCTCGAGGCGAGAATATTAATCCGATGCAAATGTACAAGGAGGTGTGTATCTCTGATTGCTGATATTATTTACTAAAAGTATCTTTATTCATCTTCTTCGCTTCTCTCAGGCGCTGGATGCCATGCAGCAAGCTATGCGCTTAACCAGTTCTCTGTCGTGTGGCGCCGGCGGGGGCAGTCTGTCGCGCAGCTTGAGCTCAGCCGGAGAACGACACAGTCAAGCTTACGTACATCCATCGGTGACGGTACCCCGACGGGCCGAGACGTTCGCTGGTTTCGATCACAACAAGGTACATAACTCTTGAAGTCGTATAACTTTCAACGCGCAACTATTAGTGTAACAACTGTGACATTCAAACAACGCGATTACTCCATAGCAGGAACGACACGCGCGCGATGCAGCGGCATTGATCAATGCTGCCGGCGGCCTCGCGCCGTCGAGAAGCGTCAGCGAGAGCGGCCAGGCCGAGACGTTGCTCGAGTGCAAAGTGCTGGAGGACGACCCGGACGGCAACAAGGACCAGCGCGAGGTGGCCGTGAGGCTGTCGCACTACGTGCAGACGCTGCTCGGCGTCATCAGCTACCAGATGACCAGCATCGAGAGCCTGCAGGCCCAGCTGGCGGGCTTCAAGGAGGGCAGTATCGGCAAATCGTCGCAGGTGCGCGCCAATCCCAATCGCCAGCTCGAGGAGCTGCGCAATCTGCAGGACCAGCTCTGCCGTGAGAAGGCAGAGTTTCGCGCGTCCTCGCAGCAGGAGCGCGCCCAGCTGGACGAGGAGCGGGCCGAGTTACAGAAGCTCAGGAATCAGTTGACGGTGGAGCAGCGCGACGTGGAGAAGCAGCGAGACCAGCTGTATCGCTGGCTCGAGGCCCAGTCGCGCCAGGGCGTGGTGCCGCTGAACGCGGCCCAGCTGCGCGAGGTCACCGGCACCCAGAACACGCGGAAAAAGAACGAGGGCACCGAGAAGAGCATGAACATACCGCAGCACTTGTTCAGCGCGACCAATCAGCAGAAGGTCCAGCAGTTGCCGGTCAAGCAGCAGCTGCCCTTAAAACTCGCGAGCGGAAGCAATAATAATTCGAGGTGAGACGCTCGTTGAACGATATTCACGCACTTTTATCATAATTTTAGAATGAAATTCATGAAACGTCGTTAATAATTCAACTCGATGAAAAGTATATGTATACCAATCGTGTTATTGTTTTCAGCATTGCAAGATTAGTTAAAGTAAAGCATCTGTGATGATGCAACTTACTTTTATCATAAGCGTTTTCATATTTGCAAATCACTACGTTATTTCGTAAGTCTGTATGGTGTCGTTTGTTTGCAACCTTTTTTTTCACTCGAATAATGACTAATGAGTAACACCACGAGATGCGTTAACACTTTAATACGAATAATTGTTTTGACACTCGTAGAAATTATGATGATATGCTTAATTAAGGAATATCACTAATTGAATAAATAAGCAAAAAAATTTTTAGTCTGGATTTCGTGTGTCGATTTTAATTTGAACGTAACCATTAGTTTGATTTGAAATTTTTGTGTGCTTTTGAAACAATTTTTTAAAAAATTTACTGATAATGACGAACATTCACTTAGTCTATGCAACAACACTGTGTGAACATTTTGAGCAATTTTTCCGTACCACAGATCACAGTACCAAACGATCAAACTAAAATATGATTTCTTTCAGAACTAGCCTGATGAGCAATAACAGTCCGGATCGTCACTCCCGAGCCGGCAGTAGTCCCGCGATCGTCAGTACCAGTTCCTCGGGTGTTCTATCGCCGGAGCTCGGCGTGAACAACGGCAGCTCCAGTTCATTGAGTCACTTTTCAATGTCGAATCGCTCGTTACGGGGCACTCGTATACCCGAGCCGTATTCTCGAAATAAGCATCACTCGCCTCAACAGCAGCAGCAACAACAGCAACAACAGCAGCCACAACAGGCGCAGCCGCAACAGCCTCAACAGCAGAGTTCGCAACAGCAACACTCGAATCAGCAGCAGCAACCAATGGAAGAAGAAGTTTTATTTTTGTGACGTATCTTGCGCTTTGGCAGAAAACATTTGAGATCGAGCAGCGGCAAGGGTACGGCGACTCCGACTGGAAAGGACGACGACGATAGTTCTCAACAGCAGCAACAACCTCGCAGTAGGGTCAAATCATTTTGATTTCCGACTTTTCGCAGAAAATCGAGGTAGACGCGTAATTTATTGGTACATACGCAATTTGTACGTGTGCGCGCCGAGGATGCTGTTACCGAAAACACCATTCATTTTATTTATATTTTTGTTGCTTTTTATTTTTAATTGTTCGATGGAAGGCAATCGATCTTTTTAATAATGGTTCGATAAATTTTGTACATTTGTAAATATAAAAGGAATGCATATGAATAATACTTTCATGGTAATCATTATTTTTAATTTTTTTGCTCTTTATCGTAAATGTGGTTGGAAATACGACAATAAAAATCGAGATATGATACAGATTAGTATAAGGTCATAAGTTACTAATTAGGCTTCGATGTTTCATTGTCAAATTTTACCAATATTGTCATTGCCCTATTTGAGAAATCCTAATATTGAGAAAAAATTCGATAATTCTCTACAATCATTAACAGATTCGTTATGAAGCGCGTGCGAAGTTCGATTTTTCAAAGACTTACAATTTTGTAAACAATATAAAACTAACGCAGTATTGAAAAAAAATGTACACGTTGTTTTTTTGTCACTTGCGTCGCTGCTGATTCAAAAGTTGATTTAGCTGTGATTTCAGCATCCTCCCCACACCTACGAGATTCTTTTACGCTGTTAATACTCTTTCTTATAAATTCATAAATATACAAATTTAGCCAAACGTTTTTGGGAAAGTTACTACGCTAAAGTAGTTAGGTTTCTTAAACGAGCAAAAGGCAAATAAATAAAAAAATGTAATATATTCATAAGTGAATATAAAATAAATATCAAAAATACTGCTATATAAAAAAAATATAAATACTTTATAGGTTTACTCGTATATTTAACTTAAGCAATAGGGGATCTTATTAATTAAAAGAGTTTGAATGAATTCAGAGTATTAAAAGCCAACTCGAAAAAATTCAGTGGCTTTTCTTGTTAAAACTTTGCCTGTTACAATTGATGACGATTAAAAGTCGACTGACACTTGGGTATATAATGATGTAACGCGTAATAGACGAATCTTAAAACAAATATAATAATCTTACACGTATGTACAATCTGTGGAGAAAAATAACGTTGCTGTTCGTTGGTGATAAGTGTAAAATTGTTTGAAATAAATAAAAATGCAATATTAAGATATTTAATGTTTATTATGTATACTTCTCTTGTGTACAAGCGAAAAAAATTCGTTAAGAATTAACTGTGTAAAAAAATAGAAAAATATGTTAAGAAAGAAAAAAACTCTTTCTCGAATTATCATATAGAATAATGGAAAAATGAGCCTTTACTGCCAACTTTAAATACATTATTTTTCTTCTCCTGAAACGCGTGACAAACCTTCATGTTGATTTGAAATCAACTAAAAACATAGCGAAAGGCCTAATCTGTTGTATTTTGGATAGACATTGTTTAGAATAATCGTATGAATTTGTTCTCAATTGAGTACGCAATATACTACGTGAAAGCTCTTCTGTATTATTTCCATTGTAAATTTGAGATTGTTAATTTTATTATCTATCATAATTCAAAAGTACGACTTCATGATTGGTAATAAAATTTTGTCAAAAACTTTGCAAAATAATATCCTCCAGCTTCATAAGTTTTATCGTTTCGTTCGTTGTACTTTATAAGTTATATAAACGTATTTGAACGACTGATTTTTGCATTTATCAAAAAACTTGAAGGCTTTATAATATAAGTAAGAGAGTATGAATTTTGCTCGAATTTTTACCAATGAATGCTAATTTTCACGAGTTGAAAATTCAGAGTTGACTGCAATGAGGAAAGAAAGAAAATGTTTTGTTGTTTTATTAACAGAACTTAGCTTCCGTTTCTTGTACATGATATGTGACAATCTTAACAATGTATGTAAGTACTTAAATAATATTGAGAATTTATTCCATCTAAGTGAATATTCGTAGAAGTTGATTCTACGAAAATTGTACATAATTTGTATGATCGCAATCCTTTAATAATTATTATTTAGTTTTATTTCTTTGGGTTTATTTATCGGCGTCATATTTTAATACTGGAAGCAATGATAAAGATTCGTGTAAAGTGATGAGAAGCAATGAATGTGACGATGCATGAGATACTTGTCTTAATGTATTTATATGTACCTGTAAACGTAATGTCAATCTGAAATATTTCTCATGCGATTAAGTTTTAGATGACGAGTAATGTTTCATTGTAAACGCTCTCGCAGAAAGAATAAAATAGTAAACACTCGAATTAAAATGTAAAATAATAATTATGTAAACTGTGCTAGCCTATATGAATCGATGTTGTTGTTGTCGATGACTCGATCGTTTTTTATGAAGAAAAAATGAATTTTTTTCCACGATGATTTTCATAATCAATACGGAGAGAATAAAAACATTAATGTGAAGAAACATGTACTATGTATAAGTCTGCTTATACATATAATATCGATTGGATAAAGTTTTTGTCAACTCTACAAATTTACTTCATTTCATTCATTCACTGCCATTCACAGATTTATATTTTATTCGAATGAAACTTAGAACTTTGAATTAGATTTTTGGGTCACATTTTATAAAAATAAAAATCATGTATTATAGTAGGAAAAAAATTCAAATATTCAAGTGATAAAAAAAGTAAAAGTATGCTTCAATATTTATGGCAAAAAGTAGTAAATTATGCTGTTAACTTATGTGTTAAAATTGATGTCTTTCTACTCTAGGATTGTACATTGTGAGACAAATCAAGTTCAAAAACGTTTTTCGTCTTATAAAAGGGTATCCGAAATTTCCTTTCGTCAATCTATGAAGTTAAGGACTTGAAACAACTTCTAGGGTTAAAAATACTCACGCGTCGAAAGAATTTCCATGAATAATATTTTTCAATCAATCGATGACAATAGATTATAAATAATTGTTTAACTCTTCATAAATATTACAAAAAGATTACTGTAAAATGATAAATATATTTATGAGAAAGAAACAATATTAAATGAATAAAATGTTCAACGTTTAAAACATTTTACCATCGAAATGAATCATTGTTTTTACTAGTATTGAGTACTATATAATTAGCAATATTTAGAGTTTTAAAGTAGATATGATTTTATATGAACAAAAAGTATTTTTAACGCGCGAATGAAAGTATATTGCACTGTTTGCGTTACGTGCGAACTTGGAAAAAAACTCTCGTTAATCCAAAGCAAACTGCTGCATTTTGGATTTTCATCCAAGTACGTAAGTAAGCGCAACGTGGCCTACACGCACTAACTGAACAAATAAATCGGTACTCAATAAAGTATCAAAACTTGAGAAAAAGATGTAATTCTCAAGTAGCTCATCTTTGATTGAGAATGTGTTTTAGTTCCGTGAGTTTAATATTCTTATTCAAGGAATAAACTATGAGGCTGCCGTTGCCTCGCTTTGAACGAAAAGAATATAATCACGCTATTTTTATACGTCCTTCTTACTGTAAAAATACTACTTTAATTTTGATTTCAAGAAAAGTAGACAATCTTACACACTTAACTAATTGACAGTGATGAAAATGTAGAGCTCTTTAACTATAAAAACGTATAGTATTGATTTAACAAGTTACTGAATACTCTATACCATTTGAAATGTTTGAGACTATGTATCTGTGATTCTTCATAATTCGTGTCCTTCGAGCATACACTGTCCCGATTTCCCGATTGAATTGTTTTATTTTAATATCAAAACTTGTTTCAAAACTAAAAAAAATTATTTTATACTGATGCGAAACATTTGTTACAGGTTTATTTAAATCCCCTCGTTTACTTAAATTATTATCTTCAACTAACTTACGATTCCGTTTGGCATTTTCTTTACTCATGCTAAATAACGCAAGGACAATATTTAGGTAACTTTTAACATTTTTCAAATCAAAATATTGAAAATAGCAGACATTAATTCAAGGATGGAAAGTTGATTTTACTATAAAATACTAAGATAAAAAAATTATTTGAGATGTCTCGACTCTAAGTCTTACGGTACAATATCTAACTCATCATAAATTTGTGCACAATGTGAATAATGACGGACGAATCTCATCCTTTACTTGCATGTATGAATAAATAACTCTACATAAACTATATTTTTTCGAAGAACAAATAAACTGTGAACAAAGTTTACGAAACTATATAATATACAAAACGCCTTCTTCGAAACTGTCCTTTACTTGTTGAAAAAAAGAGAATCAATAACTTGAAATGTAAGTATTATATGAATAAAATGATGTTCTGAAATATGTAATGACAAGTATTTGATATATAAACGCTTGAAACATTTTTTTGGCAATGCTGTTGCCAAACTTTGAACAACCGATGGGTCACATGCTCAATGCTGCTTCGGCTGTCAAGACGTTTTAATCCTGTCGGAAACGATTCAAATTCTTGTAATCCGAATTTCGTAAACGAAAAGAAAACTTTACGTGTTAACACGTGCTACGAGTTTATCAATTGTTATCGTCATAGCGATTATACATAAGAAATGTTCGGTAATGAGCTAATAATATTATATAATGAATGTAAATATAAAATAAAAAGAAACCAACAATCTGTTATTGTAATAAAGAAAATATACGAAATTCAAGGCTTTTGAAAAATTACGAAAACAACCATTTTATCGTGCATGTCAATATGACTTTAATTTGACTTTTTTTTGCTCATGCAATAATTATTTAAGCGCTCTATTATACAGAGCTTAAACATTCATTCATCTTTTTTCTTAACAAAAATATAAATACATTTTACACTTACGAAACTAACACAAACTATCTTACAAAATCTCTTAATATGGCTTAGTTCTGTGATTTTTGTCGTTACGACTTTTTTCTGCGCCTATTTTTATGGGTCGTTTTGAATTCACATTCGTTTCACTCTTAATTGGCTCAGATTGCTTCCATACATTGATTACTCCAGATTCACCCCCAGTGACTAGGCAACCACTCTGTAGAATTATTATTTGAAAATTAGCAAGTATTAGATAATTTTAAGATTTCAGTCAAATCAAAGTGGTTAATTACATACCTTTTCATGTAACCAACTGTCACGAACGACTTGTTCATTACCAGGCATACTGTACTGTAATTCCAATTGATTTTTTCCAAAACTCAAACACTTAAGGGTTTCCCTAGAAAAATTAGTTTTTATAATAAGAACATTATTTTCATTTTTATGATAACACTAATTTAATAAAACTTACTCTTTTGTTGAACTTGATCCAGCAAGTAAGAAAGGACTACCGAATGAATTTGGACTGTGTATTCGTACAAGATAACAGCTGTCTGGGTCATCATTCTATATATAACAAAAATAAAAATAATAGTTAAATATTTTTAATTCAAAATTTTTCAAGAGATGTATGAAGAATATCTTACCCGAGACAAAGCAAGATCACTTCTGTCAAATTTCAGGTAAGGAACTGCGTCGTCATATTTCCACAATTGGAGTGAATGAGTATGTGTTGTACACCATAAATTGTCATTAGCAAACCATCCTATTCGATCCTGTAAATACAACAATTGTTATGATTGAGGTATTTTTCATTTGAGATGAAAAAATTGAAAGATCAACACTCACAACTGAAGATTCTGTGTTTAAAGAATACATCAAAGCTTGATCTTCTGAAGATTGCTTAAGGTCGAAAACATTAATGAGACCATCAGTACTTCCAGATGCCAAGGCATCTCGTTTTGTAGGATGGAATGCTAACGAAGTAACGTCATCCATGTGTGATTCCCAATAGCCTCCAAGTAAATTATCTCTACCATTAAGTTTTGAATTACTATACCTTACATCCCAAAAAAGGATGAAAGCATCGCCTCCAATGTGTTCAGTTCCACCAGCCATGAGTCGTTCTTCACAGCTCAAATCAAAACTGGCCAAAGGTTTGAGTTTACCATCCTCAGAATTGTCTAAAAAACAAATTCAATTTAAGAAATTTTCTACGAAGAATACAGATAATAAATCAATTACAATTACCTTTGAACTCTGCGACAACTTTGCCCTTGGCCCGTAAATCACAAGCTGTGACTGTACCATTTTCACAGGCAGTGTAGATGATATTTTTGGACGTAGGACTAAATTTGATACCAATAATTGGTGATTTGTTGTGTTTTAATACAGCAGTTTGACTGAGGCCATCGTTTACTGAGTAAACGACGCAACTATGGTCAGCTAGAGCGACAGCGATCCTGAAATCTCGTTCGCTAGAAATAAAGAGAAAGGATACGCAGCGTTACATTAGAATTCTAACCAAACAACATACGCAATTTGAAGTGTCCCCCAATAAAAAAGGAAAAATACCTCTGGGTACCGCACAGGCCGAGTATGTAATTTTGCTCGTCGTCACTATTGACGGTCTCTTTGAACGCAACTGCATATTCACCTTTGCTTCTTGCCAAGCACTTGGCTTTATTGTTGTCTACACTCAATCGTTTCAACGACTCTTCTATTTTCGACATGATGGCTTCGTAAACATGAATTTCGAAACCACTCGTCTACTCGGTTGAATTCGTTGATTTTGTTTAATCCGTTCGACTTTTGCGTATTTGACAATTAATTATAGCGCGGGGGTGTGTGTTAAGACAAAAAATCACAAACGTTAAAGCTCGCAATTCGTAAATGTAACCTTCTCCGCGTGTAGTACGGAAGCACGTTTTCGATACGACGCAATATGTGAGTGGCTTTTCCTTTACTGACACGAGCTATAAGTTCCAGAATTCCATGAGCTCGCGGTGTTCTCACGAGGCAGCAGCATAGCATCGTAATAATCATAATAGTCACGACGTAAACATAAACAACGCAAGCGCGGCGCGCGCTAATCCCATTTGTTGGCAGAAGTGATTTTATTTTTTTCAAATTATTTTTTGATTTCTGAACATCGAGACTGAATCATTGATGGAATTTTTGATACAATTCAATAGATCCATTTTAATAACCAAAACGTAGCGTAACTCTAAAATTACATAATTTAATTGTTCGTGAACGATAAGGGCGAACATGCGAGTATCGGCGGTCGTTGGCTTGGCAGCACTTCTTAGCGGCAGCATTTCGCAACATCTTTGAAGTTTTGAATCGGTGAGCAGTAGCAGCAGGATTTGAGCGGACTGACGGTTATTTTTCAAGTCTGTGCAGAAACGAGATGCTGTCTAGTCTGGCCCTCGCCCTGTGTGCAAATCAGTGAATCCGCGGAAAAATTGTTCATTCGCGCGCGCGATGAGCATGTCAAGGCAACAGTAAACAAGATTGAACAGTATACAGTGTCTAATAATACGTAAACAAGTATTTTAGTTGCAGGAATTTGACAAGGTTTCATATCAATAAAAAGTAGAGCTCGCGAACATGTCGGTCAACAAAAGAAGATGGGCAGGAGAACTCACAGAATCGTTGTTGGAATTTCAGAGTAAGCTTTGCTGTTATATAAAGTCTCGTGTTGATTATATTTTCTTGTGTGTTGAATTCAGATTGATTGTAAATTTCTGTCTTGAACTGATTATTTTGACGTTGGATTCCTGAATTAAAATTGGTCACGAAATCCATGCCTCAAGTGTTTATAACTTTATCATATACTAGATTTGCATTAAAATTTAAATTAATGTGAAAAGGATTTAATTTGGATGATTAGTTACTATTATACTTGTCACTATCTTGATTGTTTTCCTGCGTATAATCGACCAGGTTACGAATTTAAATTAAAAGAACATTTTGAAATTTATGCAACGAATTTTCGTAAAAACATGTTTATCTTATTTTTTATTGTGCTCTAATTTAGGTCGCGAAAGCAGCAAAATGGCAGAATCTTTAGATAGTGGAAAAAATGTGTCTCATGAAGAAAATATATCATCTATGTTGGAGAAATTGCAGATTCAAAACCAGACTAAATCCAGTTCAGAACACTCTGCATGCACCCACAGTCAAAGCAATGATAGCAATTTGTTTGACAAGAACAACTCTACAAATAGTGCTTCTAATTTGAGTTTTGTCAATGATTTATCCGTTAAAGATTTGATAAATTTTAGCGCATCGATTCATATTCAGGATGATGCTGTCAATGGAAGTCCATTGCTTGCTTCTAATGGATTACTCATGTCTAATGTAAATGATGAAGTGCCTGAAAATAATACATTTGGAAGTGACACTATCAAACCTTCATCTCAAAACTCAAGTGCTCATAATACAATAGACTTGAGGTCTACCATGAGTCACCCACTTATTTCAAATGGCAACGTGATGGATCTTATAACTATCAACTTAGATGATGGTTCTTTAAAAAATATTACAGATTCCAGTTTACATAGTGTAACTGAAATTAATCCTCCTAAAAATAAATCCATATCTCAAAATACTGGAGCTAGTAAGAGTTTTTTTTTTATAAAGTTTTTATAAATCAAAAATGTATTAATATTAATTGGTCTTTAATTTTTATAGTTGCAGATGATATCATCAACAGATACTTTTCTTCTGCTATGAATGAAACTAAAACAGGTCAAGAATTAATAGCAGAAATGGATAAACCTGAAGTTTGGGATGCACTCATAGCTTTAGATCAAGCTTTATCACCAACAAATGAATATCCTCTAACTCCAGAAGAAGAAACTAATTATCCATCAAATGTTTTGACTCGCCTCTCACAGAAATTTAAAAAAACCCCTGCTCGATTTACAGAAAAACTTGTCTCCTTGCTGGAAGATTCTATTTTATCACTAGAGTCTCCAAAGTCTAAACCTAATTCTGCTAATTCTTCAGGAATTAGTTTGAACAGAATGACCGGTGAATTTCGTAAATTATGCAAATATATTGATGATGGAAAAAAGATGATTGCAGATGAATCGATGCCTGAATGGGCACCAACTTTTAATATGACAGTATTTGATAAAACAGAAATTCAAGAAGAAATACCTTTAAACATAGAGGTACCAAAAAATCCTGCGATAAAAAGAATCCTTGAAGAATATACCACACCTAAAAGTCAAAAAAATTCTAGGAATAATTCACCTATCAATAGGTTTACTCCGAGTGCAGATAAATCTTTTGAGTATTGGGAAACAGTGTGTAATTTAATGTGCGAAAGTCAAAAAAGTGCAGAGAAAAAACAAAAAATTTTTAAAATACCTGAATCCAAAGCCCAAGCTAAAAAAGCTATGGAAGAAATGTTGATTGAAAGTGAGAAACAGTTGGCTATGCTTGATGAAAGTATAGTTGACGTAAGATGTTCAGAGCCTTGTATAAGATTAAACAATGAAGTAAAATTACAAATCATGAATACTCCTAGATCAAAGTCAGTATCACAATTACCTGATAATTTCAATGATAAAATTGAAAATCCTAATTCTTCCAATAGTGATCATATAATGGAGCATCATGAGTCGATAAAAAGCAATTCAGATAATTTGAAAGAAAATGAAATAAGAAAAATTATATCATATTTAAATGATGACGAACAAGAAAATTCTAATATTGTTGAAAGAAAGAACTCTACGATTTGTCTGAATGAAACCATTGAAGATAAAAGCCCTCTAACTAAACTTCAAAAAGATAAAATTGAGTCAACATTAAGTTCAGAAAAAAGTTTCAAAAATGTGTCTATTGAAAAAATAGAAAAAAATAAAATTAATGATGATTTGGTTTTAGATGATACTGTCATTATACCAACCACAGAAGAATCTCAAATGGATGACGATGATGATGAGGATTATGAACTTCCTAAGAAGAGGAGAGAAATAAATCTTTATGGTAAACGTATTTTGGAAAACAGTTTTGAACTTAGTCGCAATAGAGATTTGAATCTTCAAGAGTCATTTGAAAGGGATTTTGGTAGAATCGCCGATACTCCGAAGAATGTACAAGAATCAATCGAAAAAGATTTTCGTGAAATTGTCGATAGTCCTCAGAATGTACAAGAAACGTTTGAAAAAGATTTTCGCAAGGACGTCGACAGTCCTCGAGATATATCAAACGACTATTGTTCCAGTGACAATGACGCTGACGACAGTGACACTGATCAAGATTGTTCTCTTTTGATGGAGATCGCACAGCGTCGTCAACGCTGTTTAGATACGGCCAAGCTCATGATGGATATCGATCGCGAAGATCCAACAAGTAGCGGTGACGATACCAAGTGCCTGGAAACTTTATATAAATTCGGTATTCAGGATAAAACGTTTGCCGATGTCGAGGGAGATGCCAAATTCCTACACACCATCAGTCAGTGCGTGGATTATAAAAATTATTTACGCGATAAAAGTAAGCCCATTATAAGTATTTTGCAAACATCGATAGAATCTCCGGAAATTATAAAAAATAAGGCAACGTCGTTCATGAGAACTAATCAGTCAAAATTGGATTCGACGGTTAAAAATAAGCCACCGATATCGGCTAGCAAAAAAGTTACAGAGTCGAAACCCACTCCAAGACCTGCAGCGATTTCGAGAGTGACGCCTAGAATTCCACCCACGTCGGCCAACACAACGAATCTGAAATCTACTCAGAAGCAAGTTTCGAAAAGTATCTCCAAAGTTGAGACGAGACCTGGCCTATCTTTGACGACCGGTTACAAGACAACGCCCAGACCAGCTGCCAGTGTCACACGTTTGGCAACACCAAGACCCGCTTCGAAAGTCAACCACATTCCGACTCCACGACCAGCTCCAAAAGTTACGAGAACGGCCACGCCGAGACCAACTCCGAAAATCACGGTTCCTTTAACACCGAGGCTAGGTTCAAGAGTTACAAAAACGGCAACGCCGAAGCCGACCCCGAAACTTTCGCAAATAGCTACACCGAAGCCAGCTCCGAAACTTTCGCGAACAACGACGACGCCGATGCGTACTCCGAGGCCAGCTCCGAAACTCTCGCAAACAGCGACTCCGAGGCCGGCTATGAAACTCTCGCAAACAGCGACTCCGAGGCCGGCTTCGATACTTCCGCGAACAGCGACGCCAATGCGAACTCCCAGATCGGTAGCTGCTACAGCGACGCCGAGAGCAAAAACGACGACGTCGAGATCGACTTTGAATGCCGGCAATAAAAAAGCTCCTATTACGCCGGCTCCGAAAGTTCCGATCGGCAAAGTAGCGCCACGTAGCAGACAAGCTACGCCGAGCGTACTCAAAAAATCATCGAGTTCGCTTTATTCTGCGTCAGAGGCCAGTATTGGAAGTAAAAATTCATCTACTCGTTCAATCAACGATCTTCAAATGGATAAATCGACCTCCATTAATAAACCAACATCGAGCTTACTCAAGAAATCGTCATCGAGTCTGCTTTATTCTGCGTCAGAAGTCAGCATCGGAAGCAAAAATTCATCTACTCGTTCAGTTAACGATCTTCCAATGGACAAATCGACCTCCATTAATAAACCAATGCGGAGCGTTTCTCAAACGGATGAATCGACTCTGAAATCGAGCAAGTCGACGTCGTACTTCACACCCCCTCAAACGCCACCTCTATTAGAAAAAAGCGATTCGTTCTCGTCGTCCAAACCGTTGATACTATTCGATGACAACGTTACGTTGAGTCCGGCAAAATCTTCATTAGATGAGTCGCTGAAAGTAGATACTGAAGAATACTTAGTAGCAGCTACGAATTCGTCTCCCAGCGATTCTCCTGAACTTACCAAAAAGCTCCACAGCAGATTATTATTAACTCCAGATGCAACGTCGAAAGGGCCCAAACTTCTCTTTACACCGGGTAAAAGTCCAAGGCCCATGGCAATTGTAAGAAAAAAGCCAAACTCGTATTTCGCCGAGCTTACACCCAGGAAAAATAATTTGGAATTCGATTCCAATAACGTCAAATCACCGATAGGATTGTACATGATCAGTACTGATGCCGAATTAGTACAAAATGTTCGCGGGGTAACTAATGATAGATTATTAACCCCCGTCAAGGGCTCTGGATCCGATGAAAATAACGAACTCAAGTTTAGATTGAGTTCAAAAGAAAACAAGGTAATTTTTTTTTCCTGGATTATTAAATGTTTGAGAAAATGTTTTATTAACTGTAAAATAATTTTCAATTTATAGTCTCCAATGCTGAGTACTGATGGAAATTTTGTTTTACCTACTGTGAGGTATCAATCTGCCAAGAAAGTTCATATGGTAAGAAAATGTCTTTCAAAATTTGCATAAGATTATGATTTAAATGATTAATATAATTCAATTGCGAACTTTTCTCATAAACAGATTGCTGATAAAAATCATTCGCCTCTTGTAACTAGTTCTAAGACGAAAAAGTTATTAGCACCTATTGAAAATACCGTCGTTATACGACACGAAGGTTTGTACTTTTTTCATATGCATACTAAACTAAATCTCATAATGCTGAGGGTAAATAATAAATTTTGTTTGCAGGTCGTGTAATAGATTACGATAATTCACAAGTGGATTCGCCTGATGCTGAAATGTCAGTGCGAGTCCAAAAAGTCGCAGAAAAAACGTCGGCAAAAAAAAGGTTTCTATAAGCTAGATTCATAAGTAAATTTGTACATTTTGGTACGTGTTAAGTATGTGTTTTTTATTAATAGAAAAACTTAAATGTTAATAGGCTATATTATTTTAATTTTTAAATTTAAGAATCGCTTTAGTCAAGTAGTTTAAAGTATGTGTACTGTGTCATCGTGTAAGATTTCTGCAGTATTAAGCTCATGATCAACGAATTGTTTTTATTAATTCACAGTATATTTTTGTGTATTCGGAGAAATTTTTATAAATTTTTAATAAAAAAAAGGTATTCAATTATTTACTTTTTAAAAATCGCATATTATTTTTGAAAAGTTCGTCCAGTAAGTTCCAGTAGTCTCTAGAGTAGTAATTTATGAATCACTTCGATTCATCATCGAATTATACGAGAAATTTCTAGGAGTATCTAGAGTTAGATTAAATGCACTCGTTACCATCGACCTATGACGCAAACTTTCATGAAGATTCCCGTGGGAAATGCCCGCATGACATGTACTTGCTTCCACCTATAGAGCATGACTCAGGCTCGTATCGCGTACGATCGACGAGGCAGTGAGTATCTTATCCACGCTTGTACGGAGCGCTGGGCCCGCTTCAACGACGAGCCGAGCCTGCTCGAGCTTTTGCACACGGCACGCTCAAAGCCGGCTCTATACAGCGCCGGGATGAGAAGTGATGGCAGTTGATGCGCCCGGCGCGTAAAAGGGGTCGATGGTGGTGGAGATGGGCCGCTGCCGCTGTATAGCGTGCCCATTTCCGGGGGGTGTTGCACACGGGCCTCTGCGGACTTTCGGAAATAAATACCCGCTGCTCGTCGCTCTACGACACAGTTCTACGGACAAGTATATACACACCGAACAAGTAGATCGCTGACTTATCCGACAAGTATTACTTGCTACTACAACTCAATCGCTGCTGTAATAAACATCGTTTTTTGCTCAAGATAATCATGGATAAAAAGGAGTGTGAGTATAACAATTTTTTCGACCAATTATCGATCGCGACGCAGTAATCGACTCATTTCTAAGCAGAAGTTTCTCGTATTTTCTAGAACGATTCTTTTTTTTTTCGTCCGTCTCTCGCAACGTTGCGCTTCAATTTTCATTGTGTTTTTGAAATATGAGGCAATTTTGTAATAATTTTCTCGTCTATATTCAACAGTGATAGCCTATAATAATTTTGTGCATCAAATTCGCTTCATTCTATAAATTTTTTACCAATCGTTACCGAATCGTTTGCGACTCATTTTGAACTTACACGCTAATTCGATCATCGGAACGATTCAAAACGTGGCGGCTAAATTTTGCACACGGCACGTTCGGCTCATAGCAGGTGAATGGCGCGTTCGTACAAAAATTCGACACCTGCTAGACGTAGTAATTTCTTCATAATTTTGCATCTCTAAATTTGATTGAGTAACGACGTGTTCGTAAAATAAAGCTATTTTTAATAATGCATTCTATTTTTTTGTCTACACACAAATGTTACTGTTGTTAAAACTAACAAATCTACGAAAGGGGGAAAAATCCATCGCGCTAATTTTCCGATACAATTTCCTCAAACTGCGTCATAAGTAAAAGTTATGCAGTATGGCGTCTCGAAACATACGTGTCACCTCGTATGTGCGACGCATCATCGACTTTTGTTATTTCTTTCTCTGGCGTCTATATACTGATAAGATGGCCTTTGTTGCCTCGCTAACATGCCTCATGCATAAATACCTACGATACATCATATCTTTCTCTTCTCTTTTTCAAGGTCAACCTTAACCTTACGAAAGCGATCGCTTGAATTCTTTTACCGTAATTATCTGGAGAACTAAAATTTGAACGTATATTGTGTGTTTATTCTCCATTACGTAATTCGTTATCGTATTGTAAACGGCGCGACAACGAAGGCAACACGTAGGCCATACGTTTGTCATATGCAACGAGACGCAACTTTTTTTTCTTTTTCGCAAATTCGAGAGGAAATTCGTCAATAAAATGAGACTTATCGTGAAAAAATTTGTTAACAATCAACAGGTAATTGCCAGGAGTGCGAGTGCTGCGTTGATTGCGGAACCGGAAACGACTGCAAATGCAAAGATGACTGCAAGTGCTGTGGTTGCTGCAAAGGTAAGAATTTACGCGACACGAGCGAAAAGGCAAAAAAAAATTATCACTTTATTTTGAAATTAATTAATTTATCCATTGATATTAAAGGGCAACAAGCCAAGAGCTGCGAGCTCGTGAAGAAAGCCGAGGCCAAGCTGAGCTGCTGCTCTTTGGAAAAAGCAAAGGCTGATTCGTGCAAGAAAAAGTGCGCTTGCAGCAAGGATGACTCATCCTCGTGCCAGTGCTGCGAGGCTTGCGACGGTATGTATATCAATACAAGCGATCACGATCGATCGCTCAGCAGTAAAATTTGCTTGTGAATGCAGAGCCGATACGAGTATTAACGTTATATTCATTCATTACAATTTGCAGATAAGTCAAAGCCATGCAGCTGCGGAGACAACTGCCAGTGCTGCAAATGTTGCAAAGGTGCAGACGCGAGCAAGCTTACCGGCTGCGGCTGCTCCAAATCTGCTGGCGATTGCAAGTGCTGCTCTGCGTGCGGTGGTACGTTATGAACAATTTTTGTTATCATTTCATTCATTCAATACATTCAACGGAATTGTATTAAAATTTTATTTCGTTTTCCTTAGATGATTCTAAATCATGCAAGTGCGAGGGTGAATGCAAATGCTGCTCTGGATGCGGAAAATCGAAGAAAACCGGCTGCGGCTGCTCCAAGGCTGCTGGCGACTGCAAGTGCTGCTCAGCCTGTGGTGGTACGTTTACAAAAATTTCCCAATTTTAATTTTTAAACAAAAATTTTTTTAATAACGAATTGTATGGATTTTTCAGATAATTCCAAGGCTTGCAACTGTGAAGGAGATTGCAAATGTTGTTCTGGATGTGAAAAATCCGTGAAAACCGGGTGTGGATGCTCCAAGGCTGCTGGCGACTGCAAGTGCTGCTCAGCCTGTGGTGGTAAGTTTAAACAAATCTCTAAACTTTAATTTTTAAAAAAATTTTTTTAATAACAAATTTTATGAATTTTTTAGATGATTCCAAGGCTTGCAACTGTGAAGGAGATTGCAAATGTTGCTCTGGGTGCGAAAAGTCTGTGAAGACCGGCTGTGGAAGCTCCAAGTCTACTGGTGATTGCAAATGTTGCTCTGCCTGTGGTGGTAAGTTTTAAAAGTTTTTGCCCATTAAAATTTTTATAATCGTTATCAAACTGAAAATTGTATTATTATTCCTTACGTAGATGATTCTAAAACTTGCAAATGTGAGGGAGAATGCAAGTGTTGTTCTGGATGTGGAAAGTCGGAGAAGTCTGGATGTGGATGCTCAAAGTCAGCCGGCGATTGCAAGTGCTGCTCAGCTTGTGGTGGTAGGTTACGATTAATCACTTATAATTTTATAATTATGTATATTTTTCTTAATTTTAAATTAAAATCTGGTTTTCATTTTTCACAGACGATTCCAAGGCTTGCAAATGCGAGGGTGAATGCAAGTGTTGCTCTGGATGCGGAAAATCAAAGAAGGCTGGTTGTGGATGTTCCAAATCTGCTGGTGATTGCAAGTGTTGCTCTGCTTGTGGTGGTAAGTTTTAATGAAACACGAAGTCAATTATTTTTCTAATTTGTTATATTACGGGACTAAAGTTTGATATTTTAACATTTGTAGATGATTCAAAATCATGCAACTGCAAAGGAGAATGCAAATGTTGCTCTGGATGCGGAAAATCTAAAGATGTCGTTTGCGGTCGTCGCACCGAGCCCGAGAGCGAGGGCACGAGTTGCTCAAAGCGTACCGGTGGCTGCTGCCAGAAGTGAATGTAAACGTCAACCAAATTGACTTGTAGCTAATTGCAGCACAGCGTCCTGCATTGTGCACTTTATTATACGAATACTTATTATTCCTCACTTTTATTTGAAAAGTTTGTAGTTTAATGCGAACACGATATTGGGGCTTTGAATAAAATATTATAAATTAATCGTTGTGTATCGTTAATTTATCGCCCATACCAGCATCGAGATTTCTGATTCTTCCGGGCTTCGCTAATTTTGTAATCGGCTGCGCGTCGCTGTGCATCCAGTGCATGACAACGAAGATATGCAAATGACACGGCGAACATCAAAGGTTGCGCTGTTTAACATTAATATTAATAAATAATAAACGCGTAGTCGACGATGTATCGCACGGCTACCGTGTAACACTTTGACGATGCGATGCACGCGATATTACGCCTGCTTATATGCCCAATACCGTTAGGCTTACGTGTACGAGAGGCGAGGCTCGCGAAAACTACTGTCGTGCATAGACTGAACTTTGAAAACTCGTTAACAGGAAAAAAAATAAGAAAAAAAAACACATGCATGTATATCGTGACACATATCTATCCGAGCTGCTGTCGCGATTTTAATTGGTCATGTGATTTTCTTCTTTTCCTTCGCGCCTCGGACGTATATAATAACGCTTATCCGAAGTTTTCTAAATAAACGATACATTTGTTGTAATTTTATATGTTTTGCGTGCGCACACACGAGCGCTCAGCGAAATATTGTTGTGATACGCGCGCGCGCGCTCATCGAGTTTTGCAATCTTTCAAACTCGTCGTTGTTACTCGGCGCGCGGATTTTGTCGAGTTGGGTAAAGCGATTTTTGTATGCAAATATTGTACTTTTTCATCGCGACGGTAAAAGCAAAAAAAAAAAGAAAACAAAAAACGAAACTGCATCGATTGTGTTGTATCATGTGTGTCGACGAGTATTATTGAGATTGTTATAATTATTATCATTTATTTATTATTTTTTCTCATTACATGCACAATCGCATGTCCCAAATTTAACGCTCCTGTTGCGCCGTCGGCCTTGCAACTTCTACATAATAATATTATAATCTCGCGGCAATATATCGCGGTAAAAAAGAATTATTGCTCTTCAGAACGTGTATGAATTGACTTACTTTCTTCAAAGAGTCGGCGGTCCGTCTTTTTCCCCCTATTAGAAGTCGATTTCCTCATAAACAAATCGTACGATTGCGCATTATACGGAGTTTCGCGGTTGCCCGATTGTGTACCATCATCAACAAAACCCACTGCTTAATTTATGCAGACGCGGTTGTCGAAACTTTTGTCATAATTTTTCCTTCGTCGAATTATCGAGCGTTTCTACAAACGAAGCCGATTTTTCCAATGTTATAATATTTTTTTTTCAAAAAACTCCTGAACGACAAAAATTAACGTGTCAAGACCGAACGGCGCCGTCTCAGTTTGAATCGGGTGAAATCAATCGCCAAGACGTGTGCGACGACAACAAAAAAAGGATACGATTTCCATTGTGCACGCAGCAGCGCATTTTTTTTTCTCGCTCCCACAATGCATGTAAGGCGCGTTGCATCGTCGTCGTCGTCGCCGGCTTTGCGCACGAGTCCGCCGCGCGACGGAAATTGTGCTGCGCGCGTCAGCGAGAAAGAGAGAGAAATAGAGGTGGAATTTGGTGGGGAACGATCGATAAATTGCCAGGCCAGAAGCACCGTAGCATCGAGTCGAACGCGAGTCGTCTAATCACGAGCAGTGCATACACCCAAGAAGTTGTGCTTTTTTACACGTATCCCGTTCAAGTAGAAGCGAATAATCCCTCAATCTCAAGATGCCAGGACCAAACTGCGGTGACAAGTGCAAGGGTGAGTGGCGAATCTCATTTAGTTATCGATAAATTGTTTACATCGTAACAAAACTTTCAAGCCGTTTGTTTCGGTGTCGTTGACAGCAGTTTATCGTCACATTTGTTGAATATTATTAGCGGCTCATTCGAAAAGAAATGGATAAATATTTTAAACGTGATTTGACAATCCTTGTAAATGTATTGAATAGTGATCAATTTTTACTTCCATACGCGTAATTCTAATCATAATCACATGTAAACAGTAGCTATTCCAAATTTCACCATAGAACGTAAAATGTTTTGCCTACATATAATCCAAAATTTTTCCTATATCAATGAAATAGTAGTTAATTTTCTTACAACGAAAGTCAATTTTAATTCGTTCTCTATCGGATTCGTATTATAATCAAGTGAACGACGAATCGCAATCGTTTCAATTATCCTCGCAGTAATATATAAGTTCATCTCGGTCGAGATCAAACAAGGATGCGCGGAATGCAATAAACGAGCCGATCGTGAGAATAGGTCGCCGCAGCTCTCGGCTCTACTCGGCTTTCTCTCAATCTCTCGCGTGACATATCTGGTTCCTCGCATAAATTCGCATCCATTGTGACTCTTCCATTTCTCGGCTCTCTCTTTCTTTTTTCGCTGTTACGTCCAGTCAATTTTTTCCCTCGAGTTTTCCAGCCTCTCGAGCGGTTTCGAAAATTGGATCGATTACCATATCGGGGCGCGCGTGGCACCGCACTAAAACTCGAAAAATTACAATAATTATGCACGGTAAAAGATGGATCACGGCGAGCCGCATAATGATACGTAATGAGGGTTCGACGGTATACCGAGGGAGATAGGCACGGCTCATTGTTTCGAAGAGGCAATTTTTCAGGAATTTACAGCCTCTGTTGCTCGTTTAGGTTTTTATAGTGTACTGCGCGCGAGGCTATTGTTTTCAAATTTTAACGAACTAGTCATTACGTGCAGTTGGTACATGGGCACGTTGGAAAGTATAGAATTATGTATAGATAAATTGTATGCTAAGATGACGCTGAAAAACAACACATCATTATCCATTTTCGGTATTACGTTACATTGTCCTACACATAAATTTTTTAAATTCGGTTAATGTGAGCAATTATTATCGATTATCCATGTCTAACGTCCAATATTTCCCAAGCGTCGCATATTCTATTTAACTAAATACTATTTAAAAATTATTAATTTAACAATAATAATTATGTGTTCATTTTTTCCCCTTACAGACAAGTGCGGATCGAGCTGCAACTGCGGCGACAACTGCAAATGCAGCGAGGGCACCTGCGGATCCAGCGGAGGTACGGCACACATTATTCTTCTCGTATCACCGATTATCTCATAAAAATCAGCGCGACGCTTTTATTTGTGCCGCCGAGAAAAGTCGCGATCATAATCTCACTCTTATGCGAGCGCGCGAAAAGATAACGATGCGTCGTCGGTTGCGCTGCACACCAGTATACTTATCGTAACGAATATAAACGTCATTGGCGCGTGCGACAGGATTTCCGTCGAGGTCCGCGTCATTATTGTTGTCATTATTATTGCGGGTCGATGACACTCGCCTATGAGAGAGAATTATTAATAAACTACGGCGGTGACGGTGGCGGTGCATCGTGCGCCGACGAGAATTGCATCCGACTTTCTTCGAGACTTCTAATTTCGATATTGTCCTAATAATCGTTGCACCGGTCGTTATCGGTCAGAGTCATCGTACGATAAGAAAGTTTATTTACTCGCTCTCATTCGTACGAAACGACTCTTATGTGTGCACGTCCTTATATTTTTATTGTTTTCTATTTTTGCAGATAAATGCGGCTGCAAGTCGAGCGGAGCTCAATGCAAGTGCAACCCTTGCGAGTGCAAGTAAAATCAACAACGAACAAGTTAAAATGAACAACAAAAATCCATTTGCAGTATTATAAAAATCATGGCAGCTATATAGCGATGGGTCTGGAACCATGGAGTAACGCATATTAATTCAACTGTGCTTATTAATAACACACGCCTACTTAACAAATTGCAAACTAAAAAAATTGGCACCTATTATCTTCGTTGTATCTTCATTTTCAATCTCATTAGAATAAAAATTGGCAATTGCTGTAATTTATTTTATTCGTTATATACTACTACGCAAGACGTAAAATTAAATTTGTAGTTAATATTATATGCAACTATTGATATATAGTTTATTCGCAAAAATCTTGTATCGTTGAAAAAGTAAAAATGTTGAAAAAATAAAATGCATTTAAATCGAGTGTTTGTTTCACATCTTGAAATTCGAACGTCCATTCAAATCGAATACGGAAAGGAATCATCCGACAACGAGTTCTTTGCTGCACGCAGCACTTCGACGTAGCACAGAGACCACTTGAAATCAGTTAACAAACGAGTGCAAACATCGATACACTCACGGAAAACCTCGTAGTTCGATATAATTTAATGTGCCTCTCGCAGTGATTCATAAAAAGAACATCTCGTATATTCGAACGTGTGCAATATAGCCAGTTCGTTATTTGCACAGAAGTCGAACGCATACCAGCACGAGCGAGAGAGCCTATAAAAATTGTAATCCTCCAATATACATCTACATTAGCGGATCGTTGCAGCCCACAATCGAACGTCGTTGAACAACGGTTGGCCACTTGAGCCCGCGTTTTGTCGCATAGGCAGCAGTTATACAACCGCGCGATCTCGAACGCGCGAGTAGACGCGTGAAGTTCGTTGTTTCGTCGGCTCGTTTAATAATCGGTGCTGTTGCTGCTGCTGCCGCTACCGGCGCAACATAACAGCGGTCCTTTCGCATTATACATACATCATACATGGTGGTGATACCGAAGAAAAGCGACGAGCGTCGTAGCGATAAAAAAAAGGCGCGATTTCGTGCGCTTCCCCACCCCACCCCCGAGAGGATCCTTGCCGCGCGACAAGTTCACACTCGCGAACGACAGAAGTCATCATTAACGAGATACGCATTGTAATTTGTATCATCGCAGCGGCTACACGGGCCCAGGCACGCATCTCGCCCCAAGGCGTCGCAGATCTCTTTTCGTAAAGTTTATTGCATGTTGTATAGAACGCGATTAACTGCGGGCAGTAATTTATCGTTCGTTCGTTCAAAACAAAAAAAAACAGTGTTCCAATCGAACTGTGTAAACGTTAATATTCGTGGCTCTGTGTTTATGGGAACGTTTAGTTGATAGCGAAAATTACATCTGCGACGCGTGACATTGAATAGTGCCGTGCAAAGTCTTCGAACGCTGCTGCGCTCTGGCCTGGTAAATAGACGTTCTCAACGGCTTTTTCGGTGAGTTATCGCTATTGTTTTAGAAAATTTATGTGCATCAATTTTACGCAGCAATGCATCATGTCATCCCCATTACAAATATTCTGAACATCGTATGCGAAGTCGCAGTGTAAGTCGAGTATTATCCACAGCGGTCGTTCGAATCGAGCAACGGCGTTTCGTCTCCGAGCGCAACGAAATTCCGAGAAAGTCCTTTCACGCTCGGACGTTGGACCAAAACACGCGAGCGCTCGCACAACAACAGAATGCTGTTTATCAATATCATCGTGTCATTATCAGTCGAGTCGATCAATACTTCTTTTTTCGATGGTGTACTTACTATTCGAACGTTTCGATGATTTCAAATTTATCGATTCGAACGTTATTGCGAGATGAATGCATCAATTTTCATCGGTATTTATCCTTAAAAAAACTTGAATTATTCATTCCTGAAGACACTCGAGATATTTTAGGTAACACTCAAATTATTTCAACAAGTGTTAGTCTTCTAATATTTGTAGTGGTGTTTTGAAAGCTATTAAATTGAAACGATTAGCTATCAATACTTTTTAGCAATAAAACTTAACGTTTAGATATAATTAAATATTTAGATTTAATGGTGCTGAGTAAGTATAATACAAAAGATCATGCTTGAATTTTATAACTACATTCAGATATTAGTGAATTTTATTATCAAAATGTATTGATAACTAATCATTTCAATTCAATCGCTTCTAAGTAACCACTACATATATATTTAAAGATAAACGTTTGATGAAGTAATTTGAAACATTACCTAAACCATCTAAAACTCATTAATCAATAAATGCTATTAGATAGTATTTTTTGAATGATAATTTATGCGAGTAATACAGAAATAACTTATTATGCTCAAACAATATTCAAGAAAATTAACAAGCAACAAATGGTTAAGCGAACAATGGAAAATACTTATCTACCCTGTATGACTTTGTTAAATGTTGATAAGCTAGATATCTTACTATACGTTTCCAGCTTTTGCTACGGTGATTTACCTCTAGAGCTTGAATCATACCATCCATTGAAAATGTATAAGTGTCAACAAGCAAATTTTCCATTTATTAGTAAGATATCTTCTAATTTTCAAAATATGCAAAAACCTCCAATTTGAAGATGTAGTGATTTAATATTAAAATTCATGGTCCGTATAATTACTTTCAAATTTAAATGGTAGATCATACATGGTTATAAAATGATTTTAAATAGTTGATAACATAAGTAACATATTGAGAAAAAACAAATAACTTGTTGCATTTTGTTTTCCATTAAATCATATTGAGTTACCTATGAATACTAAAATATTTTAATAATGGTTACATAAAAACTAATTTAATTTACTAAAAGTTTTAAGATTATAAAGTATAATTTTTCTCTCATTTTTTGCTACGTAAGTTAAATATCTTTTGTTCAACAATGATTTGAATCACCCACATTGACAGAAGCACAACATTTTTTTAAAATAAACCTATGTTGTTATGTTGATTAGAGAAACTCATTAAAAAATTTTAAAATTACTAATAGGAAGCAAATTGAAATCAATAAAAAAAATTATGGAATAATTTTCTATAATCATGGCTATTTTTCCATAAATAATTATATTCACTGCTCTTCTAGATGATTTTAATTTCATTTTATTTCCATTCTAAGCGATTGCTTGATTGTTTTTTTTAAGTATAGGTTTGTAGGGAGATAGAAATAACAACTGAGCATTTATCAACAGTCGAATAATTTTATTTGTTGATTACAATTTCGCAAATGCACTGTTTTTTTCTCGATTACTCTGCTCTTTTGTTTTTCATGACTGTTATGCAATTGCTACGCAAGAATAATTATACGATATGAGAAAACGTCGAAATGTTTATGAATCGTTTATAATGTTTATTGATTAACTTTAGGAACGTTCGTGCGTATACTCGTTCAGTTATATTGCGAAGTCCGGATATTTTTTTTTTGGTTCTTTTTTATGTTTTTTCGAGACTCGCGGAGAAGATAAAATAACTAAAATGAATAATCGCTCGATCAGTCTTGATTGGATTACGTAGCGATGATTACAAACATGATTTACAACTGAAATTCATATAACATTTCGAGTATCAATATTCTAGTTTTGGCTATTCAAGTTTTTTTATTATTTAATTTTCATTCACTCGTTTTTTTACTAATACCAACGGAAATTTTTCGTATCACAATACTATAATGAACAGAGAAAGAAGAGGAAGGAATAAATCAAAGGGTAAAAATTCACGTTCAGTAAAATTAGACGGTATACATAGCTTCGCGAAGGAAAATCGGAGGGAAATAAAACATTGCGCTGGCGAATGGGCTAAAAGTATACGATAGTAAAATCGCTGCGCGCGAAACTTGAGACATAACTCAGTCTCGTTATCTGACTCGCAAATAAGGCGGCACACGCACAAAAGTTCGCGACATCAATCTAGCCTTTTTCGCCCCGGACGCGGAAGAAGATTTTGAAAGTTGAAACAATCCTTACATAGCCCGCGGGTTTCGCCCTGACGTACGAGCCCCACGGGGTATCCTCGAGTACGATTTCGATCTTTAAAGCGTCGTCCACTTTACCGATCATCCTAAAAAGAATCATTTTTTTTATTTACGATTTTTTATTTTGTTTTATTAAAAAAGTGACGTTGAGTACGTTAGGAAAACTCATTGAATTGAATACGATATTTAACTCCGTCGATACGTTCTAAATCATTCATTCATGGTTTTAACATTCAATTATTATATAAAAAAATTTCGTAACAGTCTTGTCGTTAACTTGGTAACAAACAGCAACTATAACTTCGAGTATAAAAAAATTTAACACAATCGTGTGTACAATACGTCGAGTATACAATAATATTTATACATTTCACATATACAGTTTCTGAATTTAATCAATCATAATCACGTAAAAATCATTAGTTTTTCAACAAAATTTACTATTCCCGCTCTCTTCTTGCTTTTGAACAAAACTCATTGGAAAACTGAGATCTCTACAGAAAGCACCAATATTTCATTCAATGAACGACGTCGAGACTATAATATATTAATTATCTACTTCGTGATAAGTTGTATTTGAATTCGATTAGCAAATGAAACATTCATTTCTTTCTTTCTTATAAAATACTCGCACGCCAACCGTAAAAATCTTCCTCGATCATCCGCGCTTGATTCGTGCGATTCTTCTCTTCCTGCGCTGCTGCTGCTGATGATCTGCGTCCAACGACGACGAGATTCAGGAGAAATCGAGTCTCTTCTATTTCGTTTGTCATTTGGTCTCGTAAGCGCCGGCGCCCTGGGGCCCGCCTATGCCGTTGAGGCCGGCGAGATTGCCCATGCCGCCGGGATTGCCGCCACTCGGACCTCCGGCCGAGCTCGTTGGCACGCCTGGGTAGCCGTTGTGGCTCGCCGTCGTTTGCTGATCCACGGGCCCGTTCGTCTGTCGTTGACCAGCCTGGCCAGCACCCGCGGCTCCGGCAGCTCCGCCGACTCCCACTGCCTGTAAACATACGCATAAGAGCACATTTAGTCGATTGGTTTCGAATTGAAAATTTCGAGGAAAGCTAGAACGCGACGTCACGTAAGGCAAACTCGTCATTCGATTCACTTTTCGCTTCACACCTCTCTCGGTCGAGGAAAGCTGCGAGATAATGAGCTAGGAGGGCTCCAAAACTAAACTTGCGCGACTTTCGCGAAAGCGTCGAGTGAGAAAAGATCTCTTTTGGGCTCGGGTGAGTTGTAACTCGTACGTGTGTGCACGTTCCTCCTCCTCGTCGCAGCCACCCCCACGCCGCGCTTTACGCAAAACTGAAAGAGGACTTTCGATGAAGATCTCGAGTTTTGGGGAAAGTTATATATTTATGCAAAGCTCGTGTGCTGCTACTGCTGCGCCAGAGCAGAAGTATACGCGGGGCGCAAAATTTAAATGATTTCTTATGCACGAAGTGACTTGAGCAGCTGCTCGAAACTTCGATGTATAGTGGTAGTAGCAGTAGTCCTATCTCGGCTTGCGCGTATACATTTACATCGTCTCTTCTTCGTTTCCGAACTCGCGCGCGATTATCGGCTTCTCGTTTGCGTCGAATCAAAACTGCAGACTCCTTCTTGAGAACTTAATTACTAATTCATCGGAGCGAACTTGTCTCGGACTTTAATAGGTGAAAATATGAATGAAGTTGATGATTATCGATAAAAATAAAAGAATCATGCGCTCGACTGGCTGCTGGGCAATGTTCCAATCTTGCCCTCGACTTTGCCTCCCGCACGGTGTACTGCGAAAACTTCTTGTCTCTGCAGTTATTAGCTCGTCGCGCGTAAGGTGTTACATAATACAGACTTGAAACTTTCGCGCCGACACCTCGTGGTCTTATGGTTTTATGTACTGTATAAATTTATTCCAAACGATGTGAGGGGGGAACTGAGTAACTAACGCAATTATGCTCAATTTGAACGAACTCTGCCCGCGCCCGCTGCGTGAATTTTGAAAATTAAGAGGCTTTGCGTGCGCGCATAAGCTCGAATAATCTACGAAAAATTCTGGTACTCTAAAAAGTTTCGAAAAATGCCGTAATTTATATTTTTTTTATCGTGAGTGGCGTCAAATCGAAACAGTAAAGAGTTAATACACTCGTATACGTAAATAGAACTTCAGGACATATCATAAAGCGTAGCCAGAGCCACTGTCATCCGTCATTTTTATCTCCGGCCATTATAATTATACGGATTACCCTGGTATAACTCTTTTTACTTTTATTTCCCGCGATTCAATTTAATTTTTTTTTATTTTTAATTTGACAGACGTATACATTTCGAATAATTGAATCGGTTGTTCGTTTTGTTAACTAAACCGAGGTACAGCGAGATTCTTCACGGTTAAGTATCTTTTTTTTCTCTTTCTTTTTTTTCATTCACCCCGCCGGTGGTACACGTATATACATCACCTGAATCGAGCGCCGCGGCCTCCCTTTTTCTCTTGATGCGTGCAACGCGAGCATTTGGAAAGAAAAATAGCAACGATCAACGCAAGCGATCTCCCCCTCAGCTGTACTATAGTATATACGGCGCGCGCGTTTTCTCTTTGAAGCGTAATTAAGTTAACTCACGAGAAAAACTTGTTTTGCTCTCCTTCTTTCTTGCCCGCGCTGCACACAATGCGAGCGCGTAGTAAGTAACTCTTTGGAAAAACCGACGAAAAGAAGTTGTCCGAACTAAATCATCGATCCCCGAGAGTTTTCGAGATGGCTAACTTGCAGCTGGCCAAGCGGGTCACTTTTCATGCTATCGAGACGTTTGGTCTTTACGACAGGCTGCTATAGTGTCGATTTTGCCCGAACCCTTGAAAATAAATATCACGTTGTACCGCGTTGATCGAAGGGCTACCTCGTAGAAGTCAGTATAGAATTGATAATTCGAACCATAGGCGTAAAAAGGCTTTGTTCGTTCTTATAAAGAGAGAGAGAGAGAGAGAGAGAGACAGACAGAGACAGAGAGAGAGGGAGAGTATCGTTTACTCTTTGCGTGTACACAATGCCAAAGGTCATTCGTGATTAATCGTTCAAAAAACGATAATTTTTTTTTCTTCCTTTAACTCGTATCGTCTCGCAGACGCGCCGACTGCGTTCCAATCAATTCAGCGCATTATATTCCCAAACAATCGCACCTATACTTATCGTACATACAATATAACGGGGGCTATACACATGTTATTCGCACCTTCACACACACTCACACGGAGAGAGAGAGCATATTATTCACGCAAAGACTATTAACTCGAGCAACCCTATATGCATACAAACAACACACTATGCTTGATGTATGTATCTATACGCGGCTGCTCGTGACGTGGCTGAAGATCATTTGCACAATGCACCCCCTAATGAGCATATCGCGTTGTGCGCACATATACCCTGACATGCTTACGCACAATGAAAAGCTCGCGCGCGCGTGCTAACGTATTATATGCCGTTAACTTATATTACCGAGATGATGCTACCTTCGAGCTCTCTCGGTTAATAATTATTTTAGTTGAGACGGATTTATTCATCGTTCGACGGGCGAATTTTTTTGTTTATATGTAGTTTTTGAAATTTTTAGCTGTTGACAGGTGACGTGTCAAAGTGTTCAACTGTGCCGTGTCCATTGTAGTAAAAATCTCAATTAAGTATATGTGAATAATAAAAATTGATTTTTTTGCTGATACATAATTATTTTATGTTTTATTTTTCAGAGAGCAACTTCTTACGAATCGTTAGCTTTTGTTTTCGTTTCTAGTCAGTATGTCGAAGACTATTTTCGAAGATGACATACTCGCAGCGTTACAAAAGTATTTCAATTACAAGAGCTTGCGACCGGGACAGCAGCCCATCATTCAGAACATACTCAGAAGCAAAGACATTGTGGTGTCGATGGAAAGTGGATTTGGAAAGTCTGTGTGTTACCAGTTGGCAGGGCTACTACGAGACGGTGTCGCGATCGTTGTATCGCATTCGCCTGCGCGAATGGAAGAAAAGTCCACGGAATTAGCTTCTTTTAAAACCGTAAATATCAATGCTTTTTGCTATTTAATTAGATTTTCATTTAAAGATGATTTCTTAATAAAACCTCAATTCTTTTAGGTGAAGACGGTGTGTTTGATTAATGATGCTGAAGATAAAGATGCTGGTGATTTGAGAAATGATCTAATTAAAAAACGTGATATTATACAGAAGTTAAAGGGTACAAAAGCTGCAGGTGCAGCAAGAGTCAAGTTCTTGTTCACTACGTTCGATTGTTTAGGATCAACATCACTGAAAGAAACCTTGATTGACTTGCATAAAAATAAATTATTGCAGATTTTTGTTGTCGATGCAGCCTATTCTAAGTACCCGTGTTTATCAGAAAAGAAAAATTCCGACTTCGATAGCATTAAAAATATCTATCATAACATACCCATTGTATGTTTAACAAGTCCTATAAGCACTCGAAATTTAAGTAAAATTGAAAAACTGTTGCATCTTAAAAATACTTATATGTAAGTTAAAATTAGAACTTTTTTTCCATTTTCTGATTGCCTTGAAATTATTTCGAGAAAAATTTTTTTATTTCAAGTGTCAATGAGCCGTCAGTACAAAATAATTTAACGTTTAAAGTAATGTATAGAAACGAATATCCACTAGAAATTACGAAATTGATTACTTTTTTAAGAAAAGACTATTCAAAAAAACGCGGCATTATCTACTGCGACGATGAAAATGAATTTAAAGTTTTGAAAAAAGGATGTATTATAAATCTTCGTCAATGGACTCTCGCTGATATTGGGGTATCTATTGAACTGAACGATTTGTTCTGAAATTATTTACGCAAAGGACTATTGAAAAAATATGAACATTTTTGTTTCAGGAAATAACTTTGTGTACATCGGATGATGAACCAATTATGAAAGATATTGATTTCATTGTACATATCATAATGCCGGCCAGTTTAGATCTGTACATGCATCAAGTTTTTAAAGCAAGTCGTTCCAGCTCAAAGTGCGATTGCATTTTATTTTATCACGTAGATGATTTTGATCGTGTTCTTGAAAAAAGTAAAAAGAAAATCCAACAAGCGACTGCAGAACATAAAGATGATTTTGCTAAATCACTGATAAAAGCAATGCACAAACTATTTGATATAATAGTATACGCAGAAAATATCTCTATTTGCCGACAAATTTTTTTGTTGCAATATTTAAACTATAAAAATTATGTACTACCTTGCGGTCAGTGCGATTCATGTGAGATATTAAAACCAGGATTTGTTATCGAAATATCTGACATTTTGAGGAAAATATTAATGGCTATTTGGACGATCAATCGTCAGCAGAGAAAACGTAATACCAAAAAAAGCTCATTCAATGCTAACTTGAATTCAGTAATAAGTTTACTTCTTGGTAACGTGGAAAAATCTTACGAAAATACATGGGTTACCAAAGAATGGTTCTTCGGATCTTTTGGATCATGGGACAAGAGTATTTTAAGTTTGTTCATTTTTACGTTACTCGCTAAAAAGTATCTGCAGATGAATCATTTCTACGATGAACAGTTTGAATTTTCTCAAAACTTGATTATCACTACCGAAGGACAAGACTTCGTAAAGTCGAATAGTCAAGTGAGTCAATTTGTAAAATATTGGATACTACGAGATTGTATATAAGTCAATCGTTAATTTTTTTCAGCATAATCTCAATATTTCAATGAAAAATAGTAGTTTTGTAAAATGGACAGATCCAACTTCCATTGAAGTTCAACTCTACGCAGATTTATTGAGTGCAGCCGAATCTTATTTTAAACACACTGAAAATTTACAAGTTGTCGAGTGGTACACGTATTTTATTGAACAACTTTATTTACGCATTCCTTCAACTTGGGATGAATACAAGCTGGTGAGGTGTAATGCTCGCGTGAAGTATGAAAAAACTGTACTAGACGAAGAGCTATACTCCATCTGCTTACAGTATCATCAAATTTTGAGAAGTATTGA